ACCCTTGGAGCTGCATCTCACCAGCCCTCGCCTGCGGCGAAAAAGGTCATTTATTTTGTAGCACTATCCGGGTCTGTAGCAAAATGATTGACCTATATCATTTTTTGACAAGTCATAAACGTGCCTCCACCTCCACGTTTTTCGCGCAGCCACGCATAGAAGTCAAGCTCGCCTACGAAATTTCCGTCTTTGTGCACCTAAAATTTTTTCACGATAGAGGTAGAAGCAAATTCAAAAAAGGACACTACAATGGCACGCCTGAGTCAAATCCTAGGCGCGCCGTGGCCATACCACTCAAGAAACGCCACGGCAAAATCTATCACGAAACTCGAATGCACCCTAGCGGCGGGCGTGGCCGCTTCCGCATACACCGGGTGTGCCAGCCCTTCCGAAAACCGAGGGCGGCCCCTCTCTAGACGGCCCGAGAATAACCCTTTACACACGCGGTCTGATTTAATGAAGCCGACCCGGCGCAGCCACGCTGGCCCCTGCCAGTGTGGCTGATACGATGCGGCACGCGCGCATCGCGCTAGTTGCGTCCGTCCCATTGTCGCAAGACGCGGCCACGGCGATGGCGGTGCTTATGGCGCTGGAAGAGCGCGGGGCGCCAAGCGAGTCAGCGACATGACGAGGAGCGGCAAAGAGCCGCGCTGGAGCCGAAGACAAGCAGGGCGGCCCCACGTTTCCATGATCGATGGCGCGCCAATGGTTGCGCGCCTCTCTGGTGGCAGTGAGAATGGAAACTAGAGGCGACGACGTACCACTTCCAAAGCCTTACTTACTTGCCTACATCGCCGCCTTAGACACATACCGCACCAACGTTTTCAGCGCGGTGCAAAAAACCAAGCTACTTTACCCAAGTACCTATGAGAAAGGGAAAGCGTACCCGTCTGGCCATGGCGCCCAAAATAGGTCCGCCTTCTTTGATTGCACGCGACTTCCTTGCCATGATGTTCCGGCCAATTACTTTTTTTAACCCGTATGCTGCAACTAATTCACTATACCTGGGAGTCCTGCCGTTGAACGTGCGGTAGAGATACTCGGACTGAAATTTACCAAGAAACTGGACGAAGTTTTGGCTTTGGGGATTGACATTATTCTCCAGGTGATGAGCGTGACCGAAATCCACGAAATTCTTATAAAAATCGTCCAACCTCATCGGCAGGCGCGGAGGGTCTAGATGAGAACCAACGGCTTGGCCATCACGTGGCTCGAGCTTCGCAAACATTTCTACTTCATCCCCGACAAGTCCATCTCTCTCCATCGCGATGAGGTCCTCCTCTGACAAAGGTTCTGGAGAAGGTGCTGGCGAAGGTGTGCGACTGGCAAACAAATTCTTCAACAAGCGCAACCCGCTATCCGCCGTGCGCTTAATGGCTTCCATGATGCACTGTCGCGTCCAAAAAGCTACCGCGTCCGAGTAGGTCTGTGTAGAAGAGTTCGGGCTTCAAGTATTCCTTCAAGAGGAACGAAGTAAGTAGTTGTTGTCAAGATTCTACTGCTCTTGGTGATGTGAACGAGGAATGGTGAACAAATAGTCCTCTGTTTTTCGTTGTCGTACTCCGACCCGCGGTCCAAGAACAAATCAAAAAGTTTTCTACGTACAGAGAGAGCAAAAGTCTTAGTTATCTTTCTACAAAAAACTAGACTTCCACTGTGACAACTTCCACCAGACGGCTTTTTTTCTTCAAGTGTAAAAGTCTAAGCGAAGCCTATCAATCTGCATATTCCCTGATGAGTCAAAGAAGTAACAATCACAGCCTTTCGATGAGTATTCCTTTGTTTCTAGTTGTTTGAAAGGATAAGAATTGGATTTCTTTCTCTGCGTAGATTTCTGGGTTCTGTAAAACGGAATACAGAGAAAAGCGAGCAGAGAAAGAAAGGGAATCCTGGGAAATTCAGTTGTTGAAGTCAAGGATTTTTGTTGTACTTGTTGTAGCTAGCCAAACTTTTGTATCAATGTGATTACACAAACATCACAAACTTCTACTATTCTATTCTACTAAGAATGTAAAATGAATGAGACAACAATTCTCCTCTGATGAATGTAGGTCCTTCGTGTACTAGAATGTTTGAGATGGTTCAGCATATAGAAAGTTCTGATGTTGATTATTTTCCAGCACAAGACACCGATGGAGGGTCAACCAGATGTGTCGTGCTCACGCCTGCTAGGACGATTCGAGGATTCACGCACGCAAGACAGAACTGCAGGCTGCTCTCTTCTCAACTCTCAACACTTCGTGAAGTAATGATCTAAGTCTCTCGTTGTCCATCTACTTCGAACACTTCTTATTGCACAAGACTCTACAAAACAAGGTCACGACTGCAAGTAGTGCCCCTCACGACAGAGGCACGAAGATCGTTATATAAGCAAACCAATTATTATTCTCTCGTTCTTCAAATTGAATCCATGATCCCAATTAAACTACTTGTTCGTCGAAGTTATTTTGTAATTCTAATCTAAGCTCGGGTACAGGCGTCAACCACTTGCTTGTGCAAATCACTGCACATCCGTCCACCGTGCTCTTGAGCCGCACTAGACGTGCTAACGCACTCATCTCCTGATACAACCAAAACCGCAGCACTCCCGATTTGACATAGCGGAGAGAAGTCAATCTTGCTTTTTTCCGCAGTCAATATCCCAGATCTCGCAAAACCCACAGCCGCATCCTCCGCACACTGCTGCAACACCCCCACCAAAACGTCAGCATCACTCTTGGAAGAAAAGTAGCTACTACGTCCCACTAAGCGTAACAACTCCACACAATAATTACAATTGTAATTCGTCCCACAGTTATCTTCACCTTGCGAAGATGAAGACGACGTTGTTGTTGGACAGTCACCCGCACTTGTAGTTGGAGACGACCTTGGAGTTGGAGACTTCGTCAGTGCTCCTGCGGCAACAGCTAGCTCCTCCAGGGTTTTGAGAGTCGCCAAGGTCGCCTTATCCGGAACAAGAGCGAGAGTGGCGGCTGGCGCATCAGTTCTGCCCGGACAAAGTCCATTGTCTTCACTCGTCCCAGTCGAAGCTACTCCACCCATTTTCAAAATCAACTATGTAATGTACTTAAACTTATCGTGTTATATACACTCAAAAGTAGCTCGATCAACTCATGAAAAAGTCTTTCTTTCAATGATAGTTTTTACTAACGAATCGTCCCAGCGCTACTTTGATCGTTCACTCTGGTGTGGTGTCGAACTCTATCTCATTTCAGCCGTCTGCTATTAGAACTACTACAAGTTCTTGCGGTTTCAATATGATCGACATAAATATTATTCCTTTCCAAAAACCTGCCATCACATGGTGGGAACATAATTTCGACTCGGCGAACATCGCCGTCTCATCAGATCAAATAATTAGATCAAATCGTCAGTTCTCGAGAATCATCCGATTATCATTCTTCACTGCAAGCCCAGGTATATGAGAACTAGAAAGAAGATGATCAGAAGCCGGATCATCAGAGAGATCTCCTCGTCCTTCACCTTCCGGCATCTGACATCCGGAGAGGAAGATGTACTAAGAGATCTCCTAGTCCTTCACCTTCCTTCGTTCCTTCGTGGTGGTTGTGTGAGTGACGAAGAGTAGCAAGATGAGGATTATTCTGCGATCGCACACGAAAAGCGCATAAAATCATTGTGTCCTCTGCCTTGCATGAGTAAATGAGACTTCCCTGTTGTGTCAAACTTGACCAGGGAGGGTTAGACCTGAAATTACATGACCATGACCATTGCTATCTTATATGCCTAAAATACAACTTCCCTATTTCTTTCTCTCCTTCAAAAAAGTCTACGTCTCCAAGTTCAGCTTCAGGTTAGATACGGTCTTCGTCATATGTCTCTCCAACCGTTCGGAGATGTCGAGGAACACTAGAAGCCCCGTGTAAGAAGTGTGCTGCTGTTTCAATTTTTTTCGTTTTCAACCAGAGAATGCGGTGTACAGTTTGCTTTATTTATGCAGTTCAAGTTTTGCTCCAATATTCAAGAAGTGTTGGTGTACATTTCATGAAGTGGTTGTAAATTATCGTGACTTGTTCCAATACATGATGAAAACTTTACAGTATCTATGCTTACTTCTGAGTTTTTTTGGGCCCAAAAATCCAAAATAATGATTTCGTGCAGGCTCCCAACGACGGGAGAGATGAGAGATAGAATGACAACTGTTTTTTATACATATAAATACTCGAGTTATGATTATGACTAAGTACTTAAGAAGTTCTGTGCCTCGTAATTTGGTGCAGTAACATCTAAGAATGTCTTTCGACCACTAACATCTAAGAATATCTTCCACATAGTATATCTACGAAGATAACACCTATGAACTATTCTTTCCTCACGTTCAATATCCTGTTTCTTGCCGAATCTCATGCGCTGGACTCGCCGTTCTTTTGTACCTGGTCCATACCCAATGCCCCGTACTGCTCGCCATACAGCTTTTTCGGTTCGACACTGATGGGCAACCATTAGTAGTAGCTTTTCATCATCTTCATGATTTGAGTGATTTGCTTAGCTTGGCCTTGCATTCCCTCTGAAATTGTTACGTCTATGAAGTAGCAAGTTGATGAAATAACACCCTTAAAACAAGTGCACATCACGGCGATAGTGCGAGCGAATAGAGCGGCGGCAGCGTCTCGACCAAGGCGAGAGCAACAGGGCCACCAAAAGCAGCAGACCGAAGCAGGACACGCAAAGCGGGTCGACAGACTGCAAGCACGAGGCTTGGGCGATCCAGCTTGCCGTTGTGGACTGCAGGAAGCTGCTCACAGGATTCATGATAGCCTGTTCCCGGTTTGCAAAGTCGTTGCGGTTTGCCGTGGTGATCAGTTTTGGCGCCTTTTCCTCTGCCGTAGGCGGCTGCAACGTCTCTCCTATTTTGACCTCCCAGCTTTTCCGTTTGAAGCCAATGGCTACAGACAGGTAGCTCTTGTTCTTGTTGTTGGGGGCTGAACGACGGTACCAAGGCTTCTTGGTCTCGCCGGTGTTTGAAGGCGTGAACAAGACTTCCTCGGCATCTTCATATACAGACAGGTGAATTTGTGCTTTTTTGTCGTCCACCTTCCTCGCCGTGCTCCAGCCGAAGTGCTTCCAAGTTTTAGAAAGAAAAAGACGCAGTTTCTCACACATGTATTTAAACCCTTGGAGCTGCATCTCACCAGCCCTCGCCTGCGGCGAAAAAGGTCATTTATTTTGTAGCACTATCCGGGTCTGTAGCAAAATGATTGACCTATATCATTTTTTGACAAGTCATAAACGTGCCTCCCCCTCCACCTTTTTCGGGCAGCCACGCATAGAAGTCAAGCTCGAGTATTCTGTCGTCTGCGCCTTTTCCGTCTTTGTGAATCACCTAAAATGTTTTCACGATAGAGGTAGAAGCAAATTCAAAAAAGAGCACTGTACAATGGCAAATCCCAGGCACGCCGTGGCCATACCACTCAAGAAACGCCACGGCAAAATCTGTCACGAAACTCGAATGCACCATAGCAACGACCGTGGCGGCCTCCGCATACGCCGGGTGTGCCAGCCCCTCCGAAAACCGAGGGCGGCCCCTCTCTAGACGGCCCGCGAATAACCCTTCACTCGCGCGGTCTGAATTGATGACGCCGACCCGGCGCAGCCACGCTGGTCCCTGCCAGTGTGACTGATACGATGCGGCACGCGCGCGTCGCGCTAGTCGCGTCCGTCTCCGTGTCGCAAGACGCGGCCACGGCGATCGCGGTGCCTACGGCGCTGGAGAAGAGTGGGGCGCCAGACGTGTCAGCGACATAGCGAGGAGCGGCAGCGAGCCACGCTGGAGCCGAAGACAAGCAAGGCGGCCCAACGTTTCCATGATCGGTGGCGGAGCACTGGTTGCGCGCCTCTCTGGTGGCAGTGAGAATGGAGACTAGAGGCGACGACGCACCACCCCCAAAGCCATACTTACTTGCCTACATCGCCGCCTTAGTCACATACCTCACCGACGTTTTTTAGCGCGGTGCAAAAGACCAAACTACTTTACCCAAGTAACTATGAGAAAGGGAAAACGTACCCGTCTGGCGATGGCGCCCAACGCTCCATGTTCGTTTACACGCGACTTCATGGCCATGATGTTCGGGGCAGAGACAGATTCTACGGTTATATTGCTAAAGAGTTGACGTACGCCTGGCCAAACAAGCGTGCTAGCCGAGTCAGAGTCACCTCCAACAAATCTAAAATCAGCGTGGTGGAGATAGTCGAATAGAAATTTGCCAAGAAACTGGACGAAGTTTGTGGAAATATTATCCCGATCATGACGACTGTAACCAATATCCACGAAATTCTTATAAAAATCGTTCAACGTCATCGGCACTTCCAAAGGTTCTAGATGAGAACCACCTGTATCAGGTAGCTCGAGCTTCTCAAGCATTTCTACTTCATCCCGGACAAGTCCATCGCTTTCGCTCTCCATCGCGATGTGCTCCTTCTGTGGCAAAGGTGTCGATGTGGAACGGGCAAAGAGCTTCCTCAAGCGCACGACGGAATGCATGGTGCACTATTGCGTCCAAAAAGCTAGCGCGTCCAAAGGAGTAGGTCTGTGTAGAGGTTCGGGCTTCAAGTATTCCTTCAAGAGGAACGAGGTAGTTGTTGTCAAGATTCTCCTGCTCTTGGTGAACGAGGAATGGTGAACAAATAGTCTGTTTTTCGTTGTCTGACTACGACCCGTGGTCCAAGAACAAATCAAAAAGTTTTCAACAGGAAAATCAAATCTTTCTACGTACAGAGCAAGAGTCTTAGTTATCTTTCTACAAAAAACTAGACTTCCATTGTGACAACTTCCACCAGACGGCTTTTTTTCTTCAAGTGTAAAAGTCTAAGCGAAGCCTATCAATCTGAATGTTCCCTGATGAGTCAAAGAAGTAACAATCACAGCCTTTCGATGTATATTCCTTTGTTTCTAGTTGTTTGAAAGGATATATAAGAATTGGATTTCTTTCTCTACGTAGATTTCTGGGTTCTGTAAAACGGGATACCGAGAAAAGCGAGGAGAGAAGGAAAGGGAATCCTGGGAAATTCAGTAATTGGAGTCAAGGATTTTTGTTGTAACCTGGGAAATTCAGTACTTGAAGTCAAGGATTTTTGTTGTACTTGTTGTAGCTAGCCAAACTTTTGTATCAATTTGATTACACAAACATCACAAACTTCTACTCTCTTCTACTGAGAATGTAAAATCAATGAGACAACAATTCTCCTCTGATGAATCTGAATGTAGGTCCTTCGTGTACTAAAATGTTTGAGATGGTTCATCATATAGAAAGTTGTGATGTTGATCATTTTCCAGCACAAGACACCGATGGAGGGTCAACCAGATGCGTCGTGCTCACGCCTGCTAGGACGATTCAAGGATTCACGCACGCAAGACAGAACTGCAGGCTGCTCTCTTCTCAACTCTCAACACTACATGCAGAAATGATCTAAGTCTCTCGTTGTCCATCTTCGAACACTTCTTATTGCACAAGACTCTACAAAACAAGGTCCCGACTGCAAGTAGTGCCCCTCACGACAGAGGCACGAAGATCGTTATATAAGCAAACCAATATGATTCTCTCGTTCTTCAAGTCAAATCAATGATCATTTTCCATCCACTTGCAGCTTTGACATCGTCAGCAGGGTGAAGGTTTATAGCCCCCCATTAAACTACTTGTTCGTCGGAGTTTTGTAATTCTAATCACGTGACGCACAAACATCAGGATCGCTCAGCCCTACGAAAGCTGTCAGCCGTTTCCTCGCTCCGTCATCTGGATCTTGGGATCGAAATCGGGATAAGAATTATAGTCATGCGTTAAAAAATGTCTAAGGCAATAGACACAATATTAGAGCTACCGCGTCCGCATCTTTCTCACTGAGAGTAAGAGTATCCTTGGAAGGGGCTTTCTTGAAAGCGCGTATTTGTCGTTTGAAGGGACAAGCCTAAGATTATAGAGGGAAAGCTGCCCGGTTGTTCTACTTTTGTGCTTTGAGCGTCGCTGGACCTAAGCCTTGACCTTATAAAAGAGGTAAAACGCGCATTGGTCGTTTGTAGTGTTGTTCTGTGCCACGACTCGTTTTTCTACTGGTGTGACCCGGATAGTGGTCGAGCAGCTACCGAGATAACAAAAACAAAATCAACCCAGCTCCGCCAGTCTTTTGCTCAATTCCCTGTAGGGTCCAAACCTTTGCTCTTTTGTCAGTACTGCTCTGCCGCTAGTCGATGGCAAAGCCCAGAATTCGCAGTTTGGACAAATTAGAGGACCGCTATTCATCTTCCCTAGAAGGTAATCCGAAGTAGCCCGGTTAGCTGTAGTAATATCCGTGTGCCTTTACTCGTATCGTGGATAAATTGAGTGAGGACAAGGACGAAAAAAAGCAAGAAAAGAGTCAAGATCTGCTCAATTCCCACCTTCTAGTTAACCTTCTAGCTATACGTAGACTTATGTTGTGGCTCTGGCTTGTTAGAGACAGAACATCATGAATTACCAACAGATTGCGATTTTACACAGGTGGACTCACAAACATTGAATCATACCTGCACAAAGGTTCATCTCAAAGATAGAAGATGACCAGTAAGTAGTATTACAGTCAGTTATAACATAAGAAAGGCCAATTGAGCAGTTTAATGCCCTTCTGCAATCCGTATTCGAACTTCTTCTTCGATGACGGCTCCCCCGCCGACTCCAGCAACGCCAAAAACTGCTTCTTGCCTGTAAAGGCGACCAACGTTGGTCCCGTGTAGTTTTCGAAGTCACTCGCACAAGATGAAGAAATAGGAAGACAGAGGGTGAAAAAATAGACACGACGCGGAATGAGAGGGTGAATTGTCGAAGTCACTCGCATAGGATGAAATAGGAAGAGGGTGAAAAAATAGACATAACGACGAGTACTCCTGTTGTACTAGCTTCCGACGAGATGAATAAATGTACAAACGGATTCTGATCCTGTGTCCAGAGTTGAGTGTCTATTTCTAAATATCGGACAATATCGGACGAGCACGTACAACTTACGTAGCAACGTAACAATCTAGCTGCTACTCTATGTGTGTGCTTACAACTCATCAAACGACATATCAATGTAGCCACCAATCTCATCTAAAGTTATTTCTATCAATCTAGCTCGCTCCACGACGTACAATGATAGCTTACGCAAATCCATGTCATAGCATGGTACCTCGTTTGGAGCATTTCGCATCTACATGTAGGGCCATTCAGTGACGTAGTGTCTCTTGTTCCTCGGAAGAGCCGCTAATATTCGAAATAACCGAGTGGCCTAGATGATAATCTCAAGTACTCGGTTATTGTTTGAGTTACTCGCTTATTTCAAGATTGCGTGTAGTCTAATTAACCACGTGTCAACATAACTTTAACGCTTTTCTTGCACGTGGATCGCAGTCCTCTACGTCTACGACGTCTGCGAACAGAAGTTTGCCGCTTTTCGCCTTCCCATCAGAAAGAGGAGTTTTCGGCACTCCTTGACTCGCCCCTCCACTCTTCAACTTCTTGCTCCAGGGACTCATCGTGCTAAAAGTACAACCATTGGTAGTCTTCATCTTCTTGCTACTCGGGCTCATCTTCGTGCTAGCGCCAGCATTGGTCGCTCCACTATCGTCTTCAGCATCGGTGGAAGAAGGTCGCAATCTCTTACCCCTATCTTTAACGTTTGAATCGTCCACATCTTCCTTCGTCCTTTTAGTCGTTGTCGCAGGATGAGAGTTTCTCACGCGATGAACATGAGCAAGCGCCCTCTTACAAAAGTCGGGATACCACACATCGCCTAAAAGAGTTGTCGTATACTCTGCCGCATCGTTACCTGCCTCCCGGCAACCCAAATCGGAAAAGCCATAACGATATCTTAGAGATATTAATACCTTTGTTACCTAGTACAGAGGTGCCTATATCCTTATTAGTAAATAGCAGTCGCAGTTCTGCAAGTGCATACTACAGAAGAAATATATACAATCTCCCGTAGTACAACAACCAAATTAGAGCTGGGAGGGATTCCTTTGATGAAATATGAGTACCTCATCAAGATGAATAAAATAGCCGTAAGTATTCTCTCCCTGGAAGCGTATTTTGTATCACGGTAAGCGCGTCACAGAATTTCGCATCTACCGCTCGTTTCTGCGCTGTACTCAATCTAACAAGACCGGTTTCTACCAAAATCCGCCAGAATAGGTTGCTCGGATTACCATAGGACAGTCCCGACTCCCAGGCTCCCTCGCTCGGATTCAAACCCAGAAATAGCAACCGCAGAGGAAGCTCTTGATAGCAAAAGCAGTCCTTTGACGCAGTAATTAGATAGGATAGGATAGGATAGGATAGGATATGATAGGACAGGATAGGATGCCTTTGCTAGGTCTTCACACAGGATCAAAACAATTCACATACTGCCTGCACTTCTCCCAATCCTGCTACGAAGGAAAGAGTGAGAAATCGGCGAAGTTTTGCGTAGGTTGTTGAGGAGCTAAAGATGAACTTTCCCGACCCGCGGAAGAGACGCAAATAGATTCTTACCGGAACTAGATCACACTACAAGAAAAATGCTAATAGAAATGAATTGTATTGAGCCTTAAAGTAAAGTGCGCATCGCAGATCTGTGCCCATCGTTCCCGACACCCATTGGATGGCGCCTTGTAGTCTACAAAGGGTATGATTTTCTCAAGAGCTACTCCCTCTCGATCGCCACCACGGTTCCTCACCTTAGCTTTTGATAGCATCTTCGTGGCTTTATCAGTGTTATCCAATGCTGCCTTCGAAGATTGCTGCACGTCGTCCATAGTCGCTTTTGCCGCTGCTTTCTTTTTTGCGATCACAGGTGAAGCAGCAGCTTCATCTTTGAAGGCAAACTCAGCGAAAAAGGCATCACTCATTTTTTTTCGTCTATTGTACGCGTAAACAGTAGTCCCCGTGTTGTCTTTGATCTAAAATATTGGATGATTGATCGAAGAAAGCACATGGCATTGAGGACAAGATTTAGATGGAAATACTCGATCGATGCTCCTATGATGTTGTTGATGAACCGAGGAAGACCAAAGACTTGATATTCCATCGGTGCTCCTGTAATTTACCTTCTCGGGAATTGCAAATTATTATGAACCTCTGGACATGATGAATTATGCTATTCTAAGTCCTCAAATGTTGTACTCAAATTAAGGCGTTATACGCATGATTATGAAAGGAAGTATATCAACTGTCTAAAATTCGATCGAAAACTACATAAGTAAAAGATATATCTTTTATCAAAAATGGCGTCGTGCGATTCATCCTGTACTGAAATATGAACCTCAGTGAGATTTCGGCTCATTTTGTTTTTAACATTTTTTTCACTCCATGCAAACTTTTGAAAAAGCTCTCATTAGAAAATGAATTTGAATTTTTGGCGATAAAAGCAAAATTTTTCTGAAATTCAAACTTCATTTTCAAAGTAAAAGGTCTGGCGACGTATCTCAAATTTGTAAGTTTCCATCTGAAACTACCTAAACGACATGAGTTATTTATCACAAATTTTGCTATACTACTCATACCGAAATATGAACCTCGGTTGCATCTTTGTTGAGTTTCTCTGACATTTTTTCAGTCCATTCAAACTTTTGAAAAAGCTTTCATCAGAAAATGAATTTCAATTTTTGGCGATAAAAGCAAAATTTTTCTGAAATACAACTTTCGTATTCAAACCTGGCAACGAGACAGTAAAATCGCCTCGTATACTACTACCTAGTGCCATCTGCTTCAGGCTGATGTTCAGGTGGCTCTGGGGTAAGATTTCATCTAAAACCAAAGGACCACCATTTGATCGCTACACACAGGCCATCATGTGGTTGCTACCGGTATCTTGTTCCTCAGGCAGCTATACTGTCCTTCATTTTAGTCCTTTTCATGACACGTCACCTTGTTTGTAAGCAGTGATGAACATGTGAATGTGGCAAGAGAGTACAGAAAGCTAGCATCACGATTCATACTCCCACGCACCAGGATGGGGCCTTCGTGTTCGTATCATACTGCATGATCATCAAGGCATGACTGTCATCATCATTACTGTGACCATCATCTGTCTCATGCGACATTCGTGACGCAACCCCTAGAGTAGTGATGACAACCACCGAGTGGTGTCATTGTAAAAAATTATTGCTTGAGATAGGTGCAAAAGCAAGATCGCCTCCTTCACCTGTTTTCCCTCCTCCCATCGACATGCCTCCTCCTCCGGTTACGATGCTGCTTTTTCTTAGATTCTTGAGAACTGCTATCATCAAATCACGTAGTAGTTCTGATGTAGTCACCCAATCAAGTGATTGATGCAAAACTCTTGCTATAAGATCGTAAAAAAACGTAGTACTGGAGTACTAGTAAGTCTACTGGTAAAAATAGTACGAGACTAAAAGAATGTTCCCCTACACCGTCGGTCTGTACAAAAGTACGCTCAACGGCACAACAGAGAATGCAAAAGTGTGTAGAATTTGTCTCACATAGTCTTACACATACTATCTAGGAGACTAAACAATACCCTAGGAAATTGAAATGGCATGACGACACGTGTAAGACAAAAATTCCACAGAGACAGACATCTCTTGTCATAATTTTCCTGCTTTATTCGCTTGCTTCAGCTTTGGCAAGGTGCCGGCGTCCACCACCTCCTCTTCAGTGCTGTACAGGACATCTATCACATCTCCCTCATTGTTTGTGTCGGCACTGTGATTAGAAACATGAGCGTTCGTTGAACACTCCCAGTTAATCTGGAAGAATGTGGAAGGACTAGTCATCTCAACGGCATCGGAGGGTCTACAACTCTAGCCCGCACTTGGTCTCGTTCTATATCAAAGCGAATATCAAGACTGCGGAATATGCAGCTTGCCAAAAAGAGTCAACGACCACTCGTGTGATTACTCCATGCTCATGCTAGTCAGCTCTGTTAGCGCTAAAGAAGAGCATCTTCTGTATTGGATGGTGGGACTACTAGGCTAGAGTGTATGAGGGAAAAATGACCGGTTGTTTTTCTTTCTGAGCTTGCCATAACATACCGCTTCACCTGAAGCAAGGTGTCAGCGTCTACAGCCTCTGAGTCTGCGCCTGTTGAGCTACTCCCTCTCGCCCCATCTGCTGTCGCGTTCGTACTCGATGACGAAGCGCCATTTCTTAGAGTCGGCTTTTATAATAATAAAGTATACAACCGAGGACTTTCCAAAGTCAGTATTCATGATCTTTCAACTCAGTGGCCCTCTCATCTGGACCCCTTTATTAACCTTGTATGTAATAATTCATTTTCATAATCATAGGATCATTAATACACGGCAAAAGGGCACCAAAATCATGCTGAGGAGGATGGATTAGGATTTAAAAGCGGCCCATAAATTTCCCTTCTGCAGTCCTGTAGTTTTATTACGATGGGGGTCATGGATTTCGGTGAAAGACTCTTCCGAAGAGTCCGCTGTAAATGGCTCGACCTGTGTCGAGAAGGCTTCAGGACTCACACCCTCATTTTTGGCACTACAACACCCCATAATTCCAGGTTAGACCACTGGTGAAATGCTCCTGCTCCACACTAACTATGAAGATAGACGTACTAGAAAGCCACCAAGACCACGAAACTTTCTTGATAAGATGATATGTGAAGAAAAGCATTCCAGATACGTCGACGATCACCCTATTGTTACGTACTATCGCTATCAATAGAAGGCAAAATAGCGCTACTACAATAAACCATGTGCAATATAACACCACCAGAGAGAAGAGGTAAGGAAAGGGAGCATGGGTCTCTCTCAACAGGGTCGTGCGAATCAACTCCTCATACTACTTCCACACGACACGTCCTTCTTGTTCTACCGAAAATTTATGCGAGAATCTCGCGAAACTAACTGCTGTAGAGGAAAGATGTTACCTCTCTACCGAAAGGTGTCCTGGAGACAAGAGATCTTTGCCGATGTTCTTCATGTATTCTCCTTCTCCTACCGAGATAAAAGCTTACGAAAAAACGTTAAGTACGATGGCACCATGGAAACTCACAGCACCAATATTCTCACATGAAATTGCGCCTACTCCCCACAGCGCGAATAGGGAGCCAGCATCTCCAAATAAGCATGCATAAAGAACATCGCCAAAGGGTAGACGCGAAATATATCTGCAAAGGTCTCAAATATAATTTTGAAAGGGAATGGGGATCTACTTTTCATTGCATCAGATCTGTCACTGTCTATCTACGGCGTCTGAGTGTCCTTCAATCATGATGCGTCACAATATTTCCGCAGCAGTCGCTCAACTGCCGGCATTTCTTCCCTGAAATTCATCCCCGAAGAAGGTCCTCCGTAGCCAACCGCACTAGTCTTGTCAATTGCTTGGGTTGCGTCTGTGTCGTGCTTCTGTGCTAAGTTATTTAGAGGTGAACAAGGTCTCGAGTGCAGATGGCTAGGAATGCATCAATGCACGAACAATGATAAATTTGTTTTGTGGTGGAGCCGACCTAACTAGAAAAAATGATAAACATCTTCTTCCAGTACTAGTACTTACCTAGTACTTGTTACCCAGTAATTCCTATTCTTATGCACTTCTTCTCTCCTTCTAGTACTACACTACTTTCTATTGTCCTTAACAAGCAAAGCCTCCGAAAGTTTTCGGGTAATTTCCCTCCTCGAGCCAAGAAATCGAGCTGGTCGCGCGTACGCCTTACTAGAGGCGCAAACCCTGCGAAACGCGTGATGATGCTCACCCAATCCGGATCGGTGCCGACCCAAAGTGCTCCTTTCCGACAACGGTAGTTGCGGTTGCGTAAGGCAGACGATGAAAGGAGACAGAACATGAGACGCTACAGTGGAAGTTGAGAGATGGTCGTCACGTCTTTATCTGCGAGTTGTGACCCCCTTCTTCTTCTAGGAGCTAAAACATGACTCTCGTTTTTTCATCAGCATAATGAGCTAAACTGAACAAAGGGACAAAGAGATAGCAGTTCTATGACCGCCAGCAGATGAACCTCCTGCACTGCCGGACTTTGGCGTTGAATACCAGTTACTATTAGACTAATGACACTCCTGCACTGCCATTTACTATTAGACTAATGACACTTGAAACTATACTTGAGTGACGTTACTAACGACATTACTATTACTAACGACACTTCTTCAAACTATACTTGAGTGCGACGCCTTAGCACGAATTTCGGATTTCGAATTTTACACCGCAAATTCCCATTCCGGTACACGAAACCTTCTTCCCTCCAGGAGAGCGTGGTGGCCAACTCGTATGCGGCACGTAAACTTTTGAGATTTGGATACGTTGTGGGGGAAGGAAGTATACTCCTCAACATATCTTCACGCGATGGATTGGAAACGAAGTTGAAGGGTTCTTCCATATGCTGACGCACGCCGAGAAAAACTAGCTGTCCGGACAAAGACGGGATGACGCTGGGAATCGAAGGATGTAGAAGCTCGAAGAGATAAGTGTAACCATGCTCGGTATTTTAGAACATACATCATATAGATACTTAACTCGTTTAGATCTGTCGTTGCTGCTTGTCGTGCTCAAATTGAACATCGACTTTCTTCTGTTGACGCGGCTTAGCACACTCAAGAGATATAGGACTTGTAAAATACGCCTTAAAAATGAGAAGAAACATCGTTTCCGCATGCGACTCCATGTTGTACACCTTTTTGCTCTTGTCTCGACTTGTGTATGGAAGTTTCAAAAACCTCACGGAAGAGATCGAAGTAACTTACTGTCGGATTCAATGATTCTTTCTCGATTTCTGGTGTGGTCGCGTCATCTTCGTGCGTATCTTTCACCTGCGGTAATACGGGTGCGCGTCGCGCGTCAATAGTCCCATTAGTTGACACAAGAAGCTGGTCCCAACCAGAACATGAAGATGAAGATGATCCTCCGATACGTTCTTGCTGTTGACTCGTCGCAGTTGTCGGTGCTGGAGCGCCAAGTTTCACGACTTTGATAAGTGCCCCATCGTATTTCTTTTCGAATGCTGGCCCTGTTCCTTTCTGTCTTAAAGCTGCTTCTGTTGACATATTAGCCATAGTCGCTGAAAATATCCTAGTCGAAGGATCCTGCGGCTGCTGCTGCTGCTCGTACGGATTTCCTTTCATTGAAGTTGCTTCTGCATTTGACCTCGTCGAAGAATCCTGGAATTTATTCAGACTCCTTTCTAATTCCGCACCCATTGCCCGACCCTCTCCGTACACGTAAAAATAATCGAAGGGATAGGAAATTAGGCGTGAAAAACCTTCATTGAAAATGATGCCACGTGCTTCGCGGACTCGTGGGTCGCCGAAATCGCTCACATCCTTTTGGTACTTCAGCAGAAACAGTGGCGGTTCGCGTAGCTCGCGAGTTGTGCTGTAGTCACTGAACAAGGTTTCAGCGTTGCTGGTGTCCTGACTAGGACTTGTACCAGAGAACGCTGTTGTGGCGCACGACGAAAGTGCACCACATTCATTTCCGAACCTCGATGTCGGAATATGACGGCGGACCATAAGTCGGAGGTCCTGTTCACACCGTGCTACGATTTGCTCACTCGAGTAGCCTTGAGCTGTTAATTTCCGAAAAAAGCGTAGAAGATGGGACATCCTTATTGTTTGATATTTTTCTTAAATGCTAGATGTAAGTGTTAAAGGAAAACCACTTCTGACCGATGAGCAAATGCAGATTCCTATTTTCTCGTAGCTTGAAGTCATTGCATGTTATTCTTAACCGGTCGTGGAGTCCATCCGTCAGTTGTGTGACACTGTGATAGTCTTCCATCCTACGCAGGACAAAGGTCAAAGCCAAATAAAAGTCCTTTACCCTTTGCTTCCACACAAGCACAACCATGAGAATCTTATTAGATAAAGTACACATCTTTCGGCAGGTTCATTTTGTAGCACAGCCACGCAAGGGACTTGCAGGCCACTGGCTTTTCTTTACACTTGCCATCGACAATGGGATAAGCTAGAACTTTTGAGGGCAGTAGAACTTGGAGGAGAGACCTTTTGTTCTTGGAGGACAAGGCATTTGTTTCTCCTGGACAGCAAGACCAATGCTGTCGCAGTTCTTTTGAAACTTCCCTTGATGTCGTTGTTTCTACTATCTCCTTCGAATCCTTCGAATTTTCACTTGTCGTTGCGTCTACTCCCTCCTCAGCATCAAATATTTCGCGTAGCAATGGTCCCTGCAGCATCGACGTTGGCACTAACAGACAGAATGGCACATCTAGAGTCCGCAGCTTCTTTAAAATCCGCTTTTTCATGGCTAGGGACGTCCACGGCGGATTATCCCATATGAAGTCGATTTTTCGCGAAACCAGCCAATTCTTATCCACTGCAGAATTAGAGGTCGTATACGGTAGAAAATTGATATGAGTGAATGATCTGACATTAACATACATTGACATTGTATGTACCCATAGAAAAGAAATCCAGACCGTTTTCGTGCACAACCTCAAATCGCTGCTCCAGGCCTTGTACGTGTGTGGCACATACGCCATCTGAGAAAAAAGGTTGATAGACGCGACAAGGCGCGTCTTGTTTTCTTCTAGATGGACTTGGGATACTGTGGTCGGATTGTTGAGGCGATGAAGTAAGTGGTGCGTCTGGGGATGCTTGGGCAGTCGCGTCATCGGATTCGGGGAGTGGCGATGAAGCATTGCGAGGATTGTCTAGGTGGCTGCAAGCAGTACCATCTGCATATCTTGTAAGATGACGACTGCAAGCAGTACCATTTGCATATCTTGTAAGATCGTCATTGTCTTCATCCTCTTTCACAGTATGAACGTCCTTGTTCGGCAGAATCCGAGCCACCCTAGCCCAACTTTCAAAGGCTGTTTGCCATCGATCTGCGGAAACGCACACCTCTTCCAAACAGCGTTCAAAGTTTGAGGCATAGAACTGTCCGAATGGAGACGACTGAAGAAAAGTAGTTTGCGCCACAGAGTTGCTGTCCTTCTCCACCTCTTGCTCCTCTAGTATACTTCGTCTCTTGTCGCACGCCTCTCCACCAGAGCCGGCGTCGCAACTTCCAATATCGCTCAATCCCTTCTGACACCAGCATTGAAACAACAACTCAAAGGCCTGATAACGCTGCTCGAGTAGCATCCCTTCCCCTACTGCTCGGCGAGGACAGTCGTACAGGATGAAAAAATAGTCCTTCACATCTAGAAATTGCAATAGCAGAAAAGCCTTGAGGAAAGAATCAATCCGTGCCGTTCGTCGTTCTCGAGCTTCGTTATCGTCCGCGCGCGTGAATTGCGAGATACCTTCATGCTCATCTTGGACGCATTGGAATTCCAATGTGGTATTTGGGCTTGAGGCACATCGCCTCACAGCCTCAAGATCCACCTCGAGGAGAAAGTGAGGCCCAAAAGTCTCCTCTATTGATGCGATCCGCGCGTTCATTTTGCAATGCAAGAATGTTATGAAGCATGGTTTCAAAAAAATATGAAATCCTTGACATACTAACGATAGTATTAGTACTTACCTTTACGTCATAAGTATTTAGAACTTCTAGACCACCAGGGAACTATGGCCCAACAACACACCTGTTAAATGCTAACGACACACCTGTTATGCTAAAAAATGCTAAAACCCTATCAGCAACATGCTAAAAACAAAAGTTATGCCACAATACTCACAATATCGCAACATGTCCTCTATATCGAGGCTTGGCCGATAAAGAGTTTGAAAGGATCAATCCTAGAAACCGGGTAGATCAACCACCACTTTCGGAACCATTTTCGGGATGATCTCCAGACCGTGACGAAGAGCTCTCACTCTCTTCTTCGTGTGGATCTGTGATCCTCCTTGCAGCCTGTGCCTCAATGTTGGTGATCATAGTAGTAGTGCTGTATCTGACAAGTGATCCCTATAAGTACATGTGTGACTCGCCAGAACAAGCTTTTCACACCACTCTTTTTAGGTCACAAAAATATGATCAACTTCACAAAGGCGAACTTAGGACAGCAGGTAGCGGAAAGTGATCCTTAGTGGGATCCTTACCGTTTCTCGCCTTTTCTTCAATGATAGGTTCGTCCTTGTTATGGATCGAGTAGGTTTTTCCCAGAAAAGCATGAAGGGCCAGGGAGGAGGTGCTCCCAAAAAAAGAACATAACTGTAAATACGTAGTGCGAAACAAGTAAAGAAGAGAAAAACAAGATACCTTGGCGTAATAAATTATTTTGTAGTAGAAGAAAAACAGGAAAATACTGTGAACGAAGAAATATTCATATTCATGAGAAAAAGTGTTAACAGAACTGAGCAAGAGCAACCAAGAATGAACATAACATTGACACGCGCTACATAAAACAAAAATAACAGTCTGTACTACTTGAGGTAACAATACGCCAATTCTACATCAGTCACTGTAGTAAACGTTTACATTGCGAAGGGCCTGTTCTCCATTCTAAGTAAGATAAACTTTTAAGTAGAGGGTACTTATTCTACATTTTCTCATATGAAGATCGCGTATGGGTCGTCTGAAATTGCCTTAGTCAACATTGTAAGCCAGTAAATAGTACAGTATAGATACAGATAGCCAGCTAGGTACTAGAACTACTACATTATTCTTGCTCATTGTCCTCTGCCTCCTCGCCCACTTCCGCGATAGGTGGAAGATGGTGTTGCTCTTCTTGCCGACGAAGTTCTCCCGCAACTGCGTCTCCAAATCGGGATCTTAAAGGTCGTCTCCGCTGTGTTGACGGCAGTTTACCTTGTCTTTGTTGGTCTGGAACTTCTGCTGCTGACCCTACCGTTGCCCGATCTTGCTCCCCTGAGCCTGGCTCACGAACCTTGCCGCGCCCATGCAGATCTTCGCCGATTGTGCCTGAAGCCTGCCCTCTTGCGGGCGTACCTGCGCCAAGAGATGATGTCCCAATTTGTTTCATCCTCTTACAACCTCCAGCCAGTGGTGTTGCGAACCAAGAATCTCCCAGAACAACTCTGCGAGCAGAAGGCGTGATTCCAGTTATCTGTCCAACAGGCAAACCTCCTGGTGTTCCTCCTACTGGATGTGTCGCTCCTGATGCCGATATCCTTTTGCCACTCTCCTTGTAGTTCCCACCATTAATACGGTTAGGAGCCGCACTATAGGGCCAAATCTCGTCGAGCACCTCTTCATTCTTTTTGAGAACTTGTTTTGGCATAGGAGGTGGTGGGCCATGATGCGCAAAAGCTCCTGCTCCGAAGCATCCTCGCAGTGGCCCCATGCCCAGCAGTTGTCCAATTCTCTGTGGGTCTTTCCTTATCCTATCCTCTGCCTCCAGCTCTTGCTGTTAGAGGTTTTTTGAAATTGCTTATCCTATCCTCTGCCTCCAGACTAGGAATTGTGAAATTGAAAGAGTACTATACAGTTTGGTCTTTCCTTATCCTGTCCTCTGCCTCCAGCTCTTATTGTTACAACGAAAGGTCTGGAGGCAGAGGATAGGATAAGGAACTTTGAAATTGAAAGAGTACCTTCATCTTGATACAGTTTGGCCTAGAAAAAAAGCCCATTTTAACGCTCACTCCACCAAGACACGTAGTTAGAGGAACTTTCAATGATTTGAAAGATTTAATTGGAGGGATTCGATGATCAAGGCCTTAAGTTTTTGTTACTAGACGGAAGCCAAGTCGGAAACCGACTCGGTCCACTTCCACTCTAATCCCCGACTGCTCGAATCTGAGACAGGCACCCTCTATTCGAGCACCACCCGGCCTGTTTGCTCCGACCTCTTCCATACCATCGGTAAGTTAGAGGAAAAAAGAGATTCTACTGCGTAGCTAGTGGAGTGATTCGATTGAATTTCTTACGTTGCAGGCGATTGTTTCAGGAAAAAAAATTTTCCCTGTTGCTGTTACAATGGAATGTGTAAGTATTTCGTTGCTTCAGATTTCGTTTCTGCTATAATGGAATGTGCAAGCGCTGAATCGCGTGAAAATGAATCAAATCAACATGAGAATGAGCCTTAAGGATGATGGTAGCTGTGACTCCACGTGAGAGCACTGTACATCTCTAGTATGAGCGGCTCTTCAGTCGTCTCAGACTGTCCGTTACACACCGGAGGCTCTTCAATAGAGGAGGATGGGGATGCAGCAGCAGCAGAAGAGGATGCAGCAGCAGAAGAGGATGCAGCAGCAGAAGAGGATGCAGCAGAAGTACAACCCTCAACATCATTAACAAAAGTAGATGAACTGCTCTCAGGTCCTCGTATTTCTCCTTTCCCCTTTGATGCTCCTTTTGATGCTTTATCTGCTACCAGGTTTCTCTTTTGAGATGCCTCGACATCCGCTAACACGTTCACGCTTCTCTTTGATGTTGTAGTCAACTGCGTTAGAGCCGGGAACCTGTTTAACTTGTCATGCATTTGTCTTAGTTGTACGCGGCACTCGGATATCAGCGATTTTTTGATTTGCTCTTTCTCGAGGTAAACACTTTCAGATTCTCCCTCTTCGTGTCCGAACGGCCACCACACTAGCTTTTCTTGCGGATATCGTACACGCGCAGTCCAAATCTGGGAGGCCAGGTCTTTTTGGTCGCGGTCCAGCAAAGTTGCAACTTCTTGGATAGATAGCGGTGGAGTCGGTCCGGATACGTCGGTGGAGAAGCTATATTCAGGGTTAGGGTTGCTATGATCACTTCCTTGTGGTTGCTGTTGATGCACAGAAACTTGGCCTGATACTATCCCAGGGCTCGCATAGATCGAACCAGGTTGAAGTTCCATCCCACTGCCGCCACTGAGGATTCGGTCGTCCTCAGGTCCCACGTAGGCTCGCTTCATCATGTTCCTCGCACTGGGCGACGCAAACTGGTTGTCTCCCTCTCCTGTTATATGATCTTTCTGACCACCCGGACGAGGTGGAGGCTCTAGTAAGTTTCGTCTTTTTGGTCGTGGTGTGCTTAGTGCCGCGTCTTCTTGTTTTGTCTCACCCTCGTCTTTCTCACGGGATCGAGGTGTTCTCGGTGCCTCGTCTTCGCTTTCACGACTATCTCCGTCCCTTACAGAGAGTGCATTTAAGCCAAGAATCCTGAGGTTGGACTTCTCCTTCGGGAGTGCCGCAGGCACTGTTCTTAGGGCATTACCTTGAGGCTTGCTGGCAGAGCCTCGTCTTCCGCCACCTAGTCTACTATCGTCACCACGTTCAACCTCTACACCCATCACGCTAGTACGGGCGGAACCCATGGCGCTGCCGCGAGCTCCCATAGAGCGACCATTACTGTTGCCGCCGGTTTGACCACCGCCACTGGCTGAGCGATTAGCACCACCGGCCGAGAAAGGGCCACCGCCTAAGCCACCACCACTACTGCAAGGAAAGGAACCAACACCGCGTGGATAACTACTGCCGCCACCTAGACCGCCACCCCCTGAGAAACCGACGCCTGAAAAACCACCACCACCTGAAGAACCGCCGCCACCCCCGCTGCCGCCTGAGAAAGACCTATTGCCACCTCCAGAACCGCCGCCGCCACCTCCAGAACCGCCGCCGCCACCTCCAGAACCTCCGCCGCCACCTCCAGATCCGCCGCCGCCTCCAGAACCTCCGCCGCCGCCTGAGAAAGACCCACTGCCACCTGAAAAAGCAGAGCCACCTACGTTAGTACCAGCAGGAGAAGAACCACCTCTCCCTAGAAACTGACCATTACCTACTGCGGATACACCACTGGAAGGATTCTGGTAGTTAGGGGAGACTAGAGCATTAGCGGAACTAGATGAATTAACGTTACGACTGGACGAGGAAGCTTCGCTTGGACTGCTCCTACTAGATGAATTGTTGCTATTCTGCTCCTCTCGAGGAGAGTTTGATGATGCCTTCCGTGGGCCAAAGGCTAGTGCGATCACGCCGCCGCCGCATACAGCCACAGCAGCAACAACGCCGCCTACAATCCAGATTGTGCGCCTCCTCCAACTGCTTCTATTCAACGCTTCTTTGTCAACAGTAGCTATAGTAGAGGATGCCTGTACCAACAGTGGCTGGCGTTCACCATCTTCTCCTCCTTCCTTTTCCGCAGCTTCGTCTACCAACAGTGGCTGCTGTTCACCATGTTCAACAAAGCGGCTAAAGCTGTAAAGTCCAGCTGGGAGCTGCATGTTCCGACACGAACTCCCATAGATCTCAGATCGACTGATCGGCACAAGATCAGAGTCCAGAGTACTACTTCCAGTCTCTCGATGATTTTGATCCGTTTCATCATCATCAGACTCGTCTGACGTCGCTTCGCTGTGGGAGCCCCTCCTTGGCAACAACGGGCCGCCGGCGATGAAATCCGCCGGAGGAGAAGGCACCAGTCGGACACTACTACAAGAAGACGAAGGCAAGATATTGGAGGACATCTGTCTGGAAGATCCTTGTCGTGAAGAAGAAGATCTCTTTCTGGAGGACGTAGAGACAGTTCCATTACCTCCGTTATTTCCGGCTACAGGAGTTAGGGATTTAGTACTATCATGCTTAGCACCAAAGCACTCTCCTTGCAAGCCATCCTCAGGAAGCAAAGTTGAGGGACAAGGCAATAGATCGCATCGACTTATCCTTTTCGACGACATGAGGCCTTCTCCTGTAGTAGAAACTTCACAATTGCCAGTTGCAGTTGTTCCGTTTAAACTTTTTAATGATGTTGTTGTCTCACTGCCATTCTGTTGTTGTCGCACGTTCATCTGGTCTTGCTGCTGATTACCACGAAGCTGCGCTCGTTTGGTTACCCCTGAGAAGCCTCCAGAACTTGTGGGCTGAAGAAATAAAGGTTGTGCTACACTAATAGGTGTATGGTGGATCATGTTAGGCAACACTACACTCGGTTGTCCTACGTGCCTATTCGGAAGATTCCAACTGGCGACTGCACCGGTAGAGACATTACTCCCCACTAGCGTGCTGGTGCCGGCAGTCGTACTCGCTAGCCCACCACTCTTGGACATACTACGTGGTCCCAGAACAGCTCGTATGCTCACATTAGGAGTTTTTTCCATGTGAACGTCGATTCTTGCTAGTTCTTTCCTCAATCGCTGACTGGTCCATCTCTTTCTCCAGTCCCGTTGTAGACACCTTTGCAACAAATGCGAAAGATGTCCAAATAGACGAGGGTCCTCAGCACGGTATCTCTTAGAGTCTGGGAAGATAATCTCGACTCTAGGATCGGCAACTGCGAAGTGCAGTCTTCTGCCGCACTGTTCTAAGTGTTCGAAAGGTGTGCGATCGAATAAGAGCTGATACAAGATAATTCCCAAAGACCAAATATCGGCTTGGGGTCGGAGCCTCATAGCACCGGCTCCGCACTCAGGTTGCCAGTAAGCTTCTGGTGCCATGTACCTTTGTTGGGAAACGAGTTCGTTGTTAGAAGTGGCGTTGAAATGAAAACGAGTTGTTCGCCTCCAAACTGCCTGGGTAGTTACCAGAGTGAAAACACGAATAGTAGATAAAGTCTCAAATAACATGTAAATGATGTATCTTCTTGGTGTGAAATAAACAAGAATGTAAACAGTACCCTGGCGTCCCACACTGCCTGTGCCTTGAGATATGCGTCCTTTCGCTGTCCTCGAAACCCCTAGCTAGACCAAAATCCGCCAGTTTTACTCTCCCATTACACAATAGGAAGTTGGCAGGCTTCACGTCGAAATGCACTAGGTCCCTAGCATGCACTTCGGCAACGCCGTCAACCATGTGTTGCCACAATGCCGCAACTTCTCGTAGCGGTAAAGTTGTTGGTGTTGGGACAGAAGATGAGGATGAGGAAGAGGATTCAGTGGTTGTGGCTAATAAATCGTGAGTGTTTATCATTTTTACCGCATTTGATTCTTCGTGATAAACACCTGCAACCACGTGCGGAAGTGGTCGCTGTTGCGGCTCATCGCTCGTGTCCTTATCATCGACAACCTCGATCACTTCCTCTCGCTCCATCTCCGCCTTCGCCTTCCGTTCCTGCAAGTGCGTTCTTAAGTCTTGATCTCCGTTCTCCAGCAGAATTAGGATTGTCAAACTTTTTTCATCCAATTCTGCTCCGAAAAAGCGGATCACGTGTTCACAGCTCTGCAGTTCCCTCAGCAACGAAACTTCGCTCTCCAAAGCGCGTAGTTGTGCCAAGTCCCTAGCAAACACGATCTTCAGCGCGTAATAGCGGTACTTGATGGCGCTCAGGTAATGGTCGTGCTGCACGCTTTTTGAGGTGCACGTTCCCTGGACAGTCGACACTGCTGTTTCAGTCGGAGCGACCGCCACTTCTTCCACACAACGATAAACGTCAGCGCTGCCTCCACTGCCCACATATTCCACTAGACAAACTTCGGTGCCGCTAATCCGTACCCAAGATCCGAGAGGAGCGTGCTTTTTGCAAGTTTTTAGTGCTTTTTTAGTGCGTCTCGTAGATCCAGCACCATTTCCGTTTGCTTTACTGTCCCGTTCGCGCTCAAGGTCGCTAGTGCACCCTCTTTCCATAATCCCTCTGTGCTTAGGGTCCAAAGGCTGAAAAGCCGGCTCCAAACCCGTACCCATAGTGGACACTAGCACTTGGGGATTGGCACCTTCCTGTTGATGTCCGACTCCGAGATCTGCCACATGCTGACCAACATCTTCAACATCTTCTTGCTGTTTCAAAATCTCGGGGACACCCGCAACAGCATTTTTAGTCCGATGTGGTCCAGCGACTGCACCAGATGCAGACCCGCTTGCGAATTTATCGTGTCCTCCTTCAGGTAGGTCAGAAACCACATTAGCTTTAGCAGATGATGAACCAGGGCTATCATGAACTCCTTGAAGTGGACTGAGTGGAAAAGCTTCACCATCCTCTGCTTGAGAGCCTGCGTCTTCGTTGATACCCTTCTGCTCGCATTCCGCTCCATCTTCCGAATTTACTCTTTCTTCAAGCAGCAAACTCTCTTCGCCGATCACTTCATGAATCGTAGGAAACGATGTTCGTCCACCATGTCGTATACTTGACGGTAATACCATTGACGCTGGGGAAGGCGTTAGCGTTACAGAGGTTCTTGTTGTTGTACTTGGCGTAATTATCGCTGCACGGGCTTGATGATGCCTCCTTGGGAATGCCGTTGTGGTTGCACAACTTCTGACTCTACGGTTCTCCTCACTATGCGCCTGACCACTACCGTCATTCTTATCATCTCTGCCGTTCATCGTCTGCGAGTTCGGATCTCTACTTTGTGCAGACTGGTAGGAACAAGTCGTCTGTATCTGATTCAAGGTCGTGAAACTATCCGTACTGCTTTCGGCATTCTGTGAGGCTTTTCGAGTGGCGATTGGAGAAGGCGCCGATACAGAGTTACTAGTAGTTTTCGACCTTCCTGGCGGAGTCGGATTTTCCTTTTCATCATGCGAGGTTCGTAGGGAACCTCCTGAGTGGTCTTCGAGGACACGACCAGATGAACTACCGCCACGCGGCTCTCCCTCTTCCACATCATAATCCATCTTCGCTGTGTGTTGTAATTGTACTTCTCGAGATGTCAATTGATGATCTGTTGTCGGACCATGTTCGTACTGGAATTATTTGATGACTTTCACTTAACTTCACTGAAACTACACATATATCGATAATATTTCGAATAAGTAATTCGGTACCATCATAAAAACGAATAAGGATCTTCAAGAAACTGAAATACTTATTTTCTATTAATCTGAGAATAGAGAGAGAGACTGATGCAAAACCATGTAGAATTAACGCTTAAATGGTAGTTCTTTAAGGCTCCTCAGGGTTATGGTAGTTTTTTAGAAATGACTTTCCGCCAAGCGTGAAGAGCAATCAAAAAAGTATCAGACTTGTCAAGAAGGCCAAAAGTCATTCCATGATTGATATCGAGAATCGACTCATGCCGGTTTGTTTTTTTTTTACTTCCTTTCTAGTACTAGCTGTAAGTGTAGTATGGGTGGAGCCAAGCTAACTAGCTGTAAGTATAGTTGTAATACTGCTCCGGTGTAACTATTTGTAGCTATGTGTCACATTAGTAACTATGTGTTCAATTGTATCAATATATCACGTGTTCAATCACCCCTTGTTGTAGTTCTAGCCTGAGTCTTTCTTTTTCGAGTCATTAATAAGGTTGACGGTCATGAATGAGATCTACCTAGGACTTTTCAAAGTCAGTATTTCTATGGAGTAAAAATGTAGAGAGGACTTCCGTCAAGTCTCGTGGATTGGTACCTTCTCAGTGTGAGTGTGTGGTTGTGGTTTGTCTTGATAAAAAAAGGTCATAAAAGAACTTGAAGAAGCGTCTATACTAGACCTAGTTACAGCTGCGAAAAACGAGACGACGAAGGCGACATAACGATAACACAGTAAAAAGCAAGAAGAACTCATAGTAAAAGTAAGTAAGAGGGATGACTCAAAAAAGTTAATGTATGCGCACTTGATCGTCAACCTCACATCAACTCGATATTAAACATTCTTCAAGATACAAGATGTGAGGTTGACGCTCATTAAACATTATTCAAGATGGGCAAAGAGGCTCGATTACTTACATCACATCAAGTAAAAGTAGGTAGGATAGGATAGGATAGGAAAGGAGGTGATTCGCCGTCCACAGTGTTGTAACTTCGAAAAACTTAATTCCCACCTTTCCTATTTTTTTACACGATGAATCAACTAGATGATTATACAACAACAACAACAAAAATCGTGTGACAAAAAAACATCGTACAGACTAAGAACATTGATCGATTGATTCTTGCTAGCCAAAAAAGTAATTACCTCAAACTAACAAGAGAGACGTATTTACATCATAACAAGCGAAATTAGTCGTTTTCTTGTTTCTTCTTCCTAAGGATATTAAGAATGCTGTTCCGAATTTTATCTCTGCGTCCCATCTCAAATAACTTCCGAAGAACAAGACAACGTCTGGTGCTAGTACAATGGAAAGCCTTACAATTATCTAGAAAGTACATTATAGTGTGCCAAAAAAAAGGAGAATTGATGAGAGAGCTCTAGATAGTACTTAGACGCATCATCTAGATGCGTTCAGCTCTCTCCTCCTCGTAGCTGCCTGCGAAATGACTTGATTGTTGAGGATAGAGTGAGAGGAAAGGTTAAGATGGGCCGTTTTCTCTTTATCTTCGTTGAGTGACGCCTATTAGGGTTTGAATTATGGATGTGATTGAGAGCGACGCCGCTTTTGACCGAGGGAGGGAACTCTGCTGTGCAATACAATACAATTAATCTCGCTTTTTTTTTTTTTTGTATCGTGAGCGAGTTCCGATAAGTCAAAACCTACCTGCGTATTTTCCGCGTAGCTACCGGCGTGAGCTTTCTACAAAGTTCAGTGCGGACTCTGCCGTAGTAAGGTCGAAAGACACAACAAGAGCAAGTTGATGGTTATGGTAAAGCTGTAGTTGATTTCGCATCCCTTTGGGAAACGCATGCACTTTCAGCGGAAAATCCTTAGTCAAGGAGACTGGAGCAGAACGAGCAAATGGCACAACTGTAGACGCAGAGTGCCGCGAGCCCGCCAAGCTAAGGGGCCCACCAAGCTAAACACAGATCCAAGTAGATAGAGACTTGGCGAAAGTCTGGCGTCTGACGCGGACGCCAGGGGTTTTTCCGGTCCGGGAACTGACCGAGTACACCAGACTGGGTCAGTCCCCGGACAGACAAACACCCGCAAGTTCGGCGCAGACCTCAGGCTTCCGAGAATTCTGAGGCGTCCGAGAATCCTGGCGTCTGACGCAGACGCCAGCCTTTTGTGCGTTCGTAGAAGTTGTAGTTCATAGATGTAGTCTGTTATCGTAGAAGTTGTAGAAGCGTGGATCAACTGCTGATCAAGCGAATTTTTCTTATCACCCGATCCCGATCTATCTGTGATGCTCCATGAGCAAAAAAACGTGGCACACACCGATTTACAACTACTACCAATACTACAGAACTGTCTGGCTGAGTAGTTGTAACTCTACAACTCTACCAATACAGTCTCTCTCTGTCTGGCTGAGCTTGTGAACATATAGTCCTCTAGATTTTACATAGATAGTTAGTGGAGATCCAGTTCTTGTAACATTCAGCACACGTGAAGAACTTACACGCCGCTCTTCGTCGAAGGGATGCGCTTGTCTTTGTGATAGATTCTACTCCTCGTTCTAGGAGAATTAGAATATTACCTCCTCATATGAAGGGAAAAAAAAGGCGAAGGTCTTTGGAATACAATACAAGACAATTTATCTCGCACAAAGTTCAGTGCAGACTGCCATAATTATCAGGTATGTACGACAAACCTCGTTACGTTGGGCAAGTATCGAAGGACATCTTCTGGTGCTCGGTTGGGGATATTAGTGCATCCGTTAATGTCCAAAGTATGCAGAGAATGGCCAAACTTCTGTCCCAAGAGTCTCAAGCTTTCTTCACTGATGTTCAGATTCCCAAACAACGAGAGCTCTGCTAAGTCTCGTACCGCAGACTGACATAGTGCTGCGATTCCAGCATCCGTAATCAACGTGCACCAGGTGAGATTCAAGACTTTTAGCCTCAGATGTTGCTCCTTCGAGTCGTGTGGATAAGCTCTTGCTAGGGCTTCGAAATTCCTGTCCTCTATGGCAGTTCCGCAGGCATCCAAAAGCTCCAGATTCGGCATACTCGAGAGCTCAAATGCTTCTGCCGACAAAGCGGCGGCAGCGTAGACTCGGAGAACTCGTCGGTATTAGAGTGGAAAATATGACTGATGAACCAAAGGAATTTCGAATTCGTGCAGAATTATGGTATAGTTTAGAAGTTTTCTAGTGTAGAAGTAACCTTAGAAGTAACGATATCTTTATTTTCAGAACACAGAATTATGTTGAGACTTCAGCCATAAAAAGAGTTCAGTCTTCTCGTGACTTTCCGCACACTCCTGGACGTGATTTTCGGACACCTTGTTAAGTCCAAGTGCTCCAGCGAGCGCGCATAATAGGGTGCCGCGGAAATGGCTGCAAGCGCAACATCCGATAGCTTCATACAGCCAGCTAAGCTCAGGGATTTCAAGTACGGACAGTACTCTGGAATCTTCTGCAGAGCGCTCTCCGTTAACTGCGGGTTCCAGTATAACTGGAGTTCGACTAAATTCCGATTCCCTTCCAAAAAGGCCAAGAGGCTGTCGTCGTTCAAGTCGGGCAAATGATTTAGGTCCAAGAAGTGGAAATTCGCGCAGCGCTTGGACCAAGAGGGTGAAAAATGTCGGTTAAATGCGAAGGAGATCGAACGCATGCAAGATGGAGAGGCTCCAGATCCAGATCCAGGTGAAGGTTCTTCTAGTCCTTCTAATGCAGAAGTTTTGGCTGCACTTGAGTCGTGATCTACTTCGCCCATTATCAATCGTTCAAGTGTAGCTTCATCTTCGACAAACCTAGCGTCAAAATGAGTAACATCAGCCCTCTGGGCTTTACTCCAGGCAGCAAGATGTTCGTCTCCTAAGCGTGGCTTTTCAAAGCCCTTCTCAACTCCCGTCATTTTTTTTGGATGCGAAACTAACAGACTAGACTAGTGGATGTTCAATTCAAGTCATAGGAATAACGGGTTAAGCGTGAGATAAGTGGTGCCAGAACGTTTAAGGAGAGACAAGCACCACGAGCAAGAAAGGATGGAAAACCTAAGATGAGAGTCGTAAGACTAATTTTCATGAGTCACTTTTTAAAAAAAGGTAGGTGCAAAATAAAGTCTGCCGTAGACTTGAAATCCAATGTCGAATCCAATGTCGAAACAGCCGACCGGATCAAGCGATGATGCATACGAAAATGATTCATGTATTATTTAAGTTGTAGACAGTCCCCTACCCCCGAACACAGATCAACCTCCTCTAGCCCTGTTTGTCGTCAACATCGTACTACAAGTAGAAACAAAAGTGGGCTACATGATCCAAGCCTTGCAACATTGGCTTAGAACAAGGAAACTCGAGTTTCTGTTTTCTTGAAAGATTTCTTGGAAGAGAACCGTTGAGACCTGATAACACCTTAGACCCTGGTTCTCAACAATTGTGAACATTTCCTTGGAGAGTGAAGGTGAAGCCTTCGATGGTAGGACAATATCAAACGGAGCTATTGTGTCAAGTGGTTAGTAGAAGTAATGGGTTTAGGGTTTAGCCATTAGCGTTGGTGCGAGAGCATGTATCATGACGCACTGACGCAATCATCACAGTCATCGGCAAATGAAGTCGCTGATATTTTGGAGCTTGTAATTATACTTTCAATATCAGAACTTTCTTCGCATTTCAATTCCATAAAAACTCATATTTTCATCTCATGTCTTTCTCCAAATTTTCATCTCGCTTGCCCTCTCGTCTTCCTTCTTTTGATTTGCGAAGGCCTGCTCCCAGGGCGTACGCAGATCGATCCGCAAAGCGCTGCAAGTCCTTGACAGTGCGAAAGCCTCCGACATTTCCAGGTAGCTACTAATTTTGAACATCACGTCCCCTGGTAAGGCAAGAAAAGGTGAGTTTTTCGGACGGTTTTCCTCTTCGAGACACTTAGGGCAAAATCCGACATGGAGGCTGACAACTATGAACGAAGTATAGACGCTTTTGGGCTTAAAGAATCTGAGTAAATTCTGTTCGGCAAGTGCGTACGCTTTGAAGATTCTCCGCTCGACCCAATGCGTGCCCTTCTTCGGGCAGAGTGTGATACGTTGCTCCTCGCATCTTTGTCTTGGCGCCGGTGAGTGCTTACAGCGAACATCAGGGGCGGGTAAGGTCTCCGACCGCAGCTGCAAGTACTCACTCAGGTCCATGTTCCCGTAGAAGGTTCGGAGGTACTTCTCGTCGAGTATTAGGACATCTCTGGCGGAGAAATTGTATCCCACGTTTTCCGGCTGAATCACCTTACCCCTGATGATTAAGTATCCCTCGAGCGGCCTTGCGCTTTTCATCACCAGCTTTGCCGCGTCGGATCGTTCTTTCAGCAACCTTGCTAGCATCTTGCATCGGGCAGATTCATCTGGCTCCCTGTGCTCCAGATTCGAGGATGTTGAGGCATCTTCAGAGCCGGCGTCTTCCATTTCTTACAACATGCCAAGACACTACCAAAGTTTATCCCTTGAAAACAACAAAGTGAAAAAAAGCGGTACTATCTCGTGCAAGGACACGGAAACATTTTTTCAGGTCGACATGCAGGGCCACCACCGAATATGACAACGACCGTATCCACCACACGAGAGACGGTATAATACAGCCACCATGTCCCCCACCGCGAGACAACATCAATCAGCACAAGAATAGAAGCTGAAAAGATCGCTGCATCATGACAGATTTCTACATCATGTCCGCACACTCTCTTCATCTGTAACACATGGTAACAAGCGCAGACACAAAAATCTGTCAAAAAAGGGTTGTTTTCGCATGCATTCATGTCAAGAATCTTAGAGCAGAAGGAGACATCCTCAAGAGAACGAGGCGTGACCTTATCATGATGAGACACGGCTTTCACACAATCCGGCTAGAAATCGATAGGGAAGATAGCCGTAGTACTAGTAGGTGTCTCTTGTCACTTACTCCATTCTTCTCCACTACAAATCTTCCTGCAAATTAGGCGGTTTCTCGTACCTCGCACTACCTCCACCTCCGCCCACAAATTCTGAAGTACCCTCCAAAGTGCTTGTTGCCTCATCTCCTTCCTTCGCCTCTATTAGAACTAATGGAAATCCATCTTCAGCAGCATCTTGGGCCTCCTTTTGCCTTTAAAAACGGGACCAAGATGACAGTGAAGATGGATTTCTTGTACCCTTAACTCTAACCTATTCTTCTCATGATCTATCTCTGTTCGTAGATTGGCAGCCACAATTGCCCTCGACTCCGCTCTTGCCTTGAGAGCTGGCGAAAGTCTTGTATGGTCGAGTTCCAAGCTCCTAGCGCCTAAGTTGTACTGCTCGCGAAAGAAGACAGATTAGAATGATCTTTTAATGTAAGTGCACTGCTTCTAATGTAAGTGCACTACCCAAAGCATTAGTTGACGCTCTACCCAAAGCACTACTTCTAATGTAAGTGCACTACAGATTGTCTTTCTAGGTCCTTACTTACCAGCCTTGTTAATCAAACATGAACATCTGATTCCTTGAACTAGAGTTCCTTACCAGCCTTGTTAATCAAACTCCTCAATTTCATTTTAAACTAGAGTTCCTTCTCATTTTCATCATCATGGAGTTCCTTCTCATTTTCATCATCATGATATTTCTAGCCTTAATCAAACATCTGATTTGGTAAGCGTTGATCGAGTGCTCGGGAGAGCCGGTCTAGAGGCTCCACTATCCAGAGGAAGAAGGAGGTTCGAGATCGTCCAGGAATCACATGCAGATACGCGCTGGACAACAGGTCGAATTCGAAAAATAACCGGACTTTGCGATGTATGAAAGAAAGGGTGGAGATGAGGGGTTCGTTCAGTTGGATGGTTTTTAGTAAGAAACGCTAGGTTGGTTTAAGAGGCGGGTTGAGGTGTGGGGGTGAGGAGCGCTAAACTAGGGCGGGGTGTCGAGCTGAACGTTTTGTGAGTTCAACGACCGCTCGCTGCTTGTAAATATCACTTCTCGTATTTAGACGTTCATGCTCACTGTTCCATAACGATGGAGATTTAGCTTTGAGTAACTAGTCGTAGTCCTGTTTCACATAATGTACCAAGAGATCAGTTTTCGTCTCGCATGATCGATCTCCTTGCCTCTGGGATCCGCAGTCGCAAGAAGTTCTAAGAAGTCGTACGCATACTGGAGTTCTCTATCTTCTTCCCGTTCCGTTAACCGTGCAGACTGTGCCTGAAAGTCTTCTAAGAGGTCGAGAGCTTCCAATATCCCTGGATCACTGTATTCTGTTAAGAGCGTATTAAACAGCGGTCCCTGCTGCATATTTCGATAGATGGCGTAAAACTGCACATTGAAAATGACAGTCGTGACCAGCGTGACCCACGTGGCGATCATACCCCAGTTCACACGCCCGCAGCAAGAAAACACTACCATTTTTGCTTGTTGTTGATGTGGTTAGTAGTAGTTGTAGTAGAAAAAATGGATTGTGTAAGTAGGGTGAAAGTATGTAGAACTGACGGTAACAAAAAATTCGAGATCGGGTGCAAAAAAAATCAAGAGAGTACTAGAGTGAAGATTGGACTATCACCAAAACGAGCACTTAGCTGCATGAAGAAAAAATTCCTAGATACGGAACTATCAATTTATTCACATGTTCATGTTGTATTAAGCAAACGATTTTTGCACTTTTGACCGATGAATTGCACGTACTTACTATAGGGTTCTCAGCGGGTCACTCGGGGCCCAACAGCACTGGGCGGTCACATCAACTCTAATTTTTTTAGTAGAGTTGTACGCTTTCAATATATTGTCAATCTAAATCTCATGAATCCTAAAGTCCTTAAGTCCTTTGGTTGGAACATCCCACACGTACAGGAACAGATAGAAGATCATGAGGTTGGATCATCCAGAACCGACAATGAGAAAGGGGGTCAACTCCAATTCCGATTCACGCTTTCCAACTACGGCATTGGCGCTAGATCTCGATATGAACGGACCTGGCTTCTAGTTCTACTATCCGAAGATCCTCATGCGGCGCAACGAACAGAAATGATTTCAGGCTTGAAAACCATGGGAGGGAGCTTCCAAAACAGGTTTTCACGGCGTCGCTTTTGCTGTACTAGAAGAGAGTGTAGTAAATGAGTACGGGTTCATCTTGGATGCTTGTGGTATTCGGGTTGATACGCGTCGTCGATTGGGAGGTCCGGTCATGTGGGAGCAAAGTGAAGATTGATGATGCTTACAAAAAAATTTAATTCAATGAGGTGTCGCAGAAGGCAAAAATTAATGTCAATATGTCGTCCATGGATTGTGGTCATGAATCATGTGATATGTCGCTGTCGTTCCGAGAAGTTGTAGTATGTCGCGTGATAGTTGTGGTATGTACGAGCAGAATGATCTCCTAGAATCTCAAAGCGTGAAGTATTGGTACTACAACTACTTGTCAGGTCTAGAATGCTTATTTCCTCGTGACGTGTAGCCAGTCTAATTCCCCACTTGTATCGTCCAACAGTGCCGTTTGATTCCGCCAGTCGCTCGCTGCTTCGAGATCGAGGCCTACAGGGACTCGCTTGTCGTGTTCGGCGCGTTTTGACGTCTTCGCTCTAGCTGGCACCACGAATTTCGGCGTAATCCGCAGACCAATCGTATCTTCCTTCACTGCTGCTTCCGCATCGGATTTGTGGACGAAGGAGACGAAACCAAAATCCAAGGGCTTATTCGTGTAGTTGTGCCTCGGAACGCGAGCGCCGACTACGAGACCGAAGATGGAGAAACTGTTGATGACGGCCCGCTCGGAGATCATCTCGGACAGCTGTTCTTGTTCAGGTGACCGCTTAGACTCTTTGCCTTTCCCTTTGCCTTTCCCTTTGCCTTTCTTACCTCCCTTTTTTCCACCTTGGCGCCAATCGACATAAACGTCCGTTGTCGCGGAAAGCAGATCGAATCTGTAGGTTCGTATTGAAACTGAAAACAATGACACTAGGTCTCATAAATAAGAATAAGATCTATAAAGAGGGAATACAGGTCGATCCAGCTCAGGAGACCAGACAATTTAAAGAAATAGTAGGTTAGGTAACGGATACAGTGCATGTGGACGAGGCTACACAGCGTCTGCACCCTACGAGATAACAGTAAAGAAATAGTAAAAGCGAGTCCATTATAAAAACAACTAAAGGATGCCATGATCGAATAATAAAAGCAGCTAGAAGTATAAGTAGTACGCCGTATCCCTCTCCCCTTTTGATTCGAACTGCAAAAAACACTCAGCTCGCCAGTCGCTAGGATCTTGCTCGTTCAATTTCCAAACGAGTGGTCCAATTTGAACTTTCTGCTTCGGAAACAGGTTCAGCACAGCTTGCTTCGCTGCGTTCTTCTTCAAGGTGCCACGACGGAACTCGCGAGAAATATGCTGCACCTTAAGCAGTCTTGGAAACGCTCTAGACGGGAAAGTAAGAGGTGTTAAGTCGTGCTCTTGACCAAGATCGTGGACTGTGGTGCTAGCAGTTGATTTCGGAATGATCCAAGAAGCTGGGGTCGTGTTTTGTTTCCCTTTCAACATCTTGCTCTTTGTCGCGCTGCCGCTAGGATGATCTGCACCACCACTCGCAGAGGTCGTCGGCAGCTGCCCACTACTTGCTAAATCATGAGCAGCAGTGCCGGTATTGATGTAGTGTTCTCTGTAGAAGCGAAAAGCTTCTCTTTGCGCGACTTGAAGCATGTATCGGCATCTCGCCACAGGATCTAAATGGTACTCCTCCCACGAGTCGGATGGCTGCTCTTTCTGCTTATCCAACATCATCTCCGCCAAGGCGCGCACGCTGTGGAACTGGTGAGGCTTGTCATAAACTGCGAACAGAAGAGCGATATCTACCATGTAAATGCTGAAGCAGAGACGCAGAGACAAACTAGCGTGATGTAGACCGTGGCCGACCAGGATTGTTTGTTCCTCTGCAAGCAGATCCGAGACCATTTTCCTCGCCTGACGATGCGAGACACCACGTTCTTGCAGCTCCTCTTCTGAGGTCAGTCCCGTGACATGCGTTCGCAGGTCTAACACCGGTAACTCAGGACGCACAAGCACATCCAACAACACACGCCGAGAATCAGACGCTCCATCTGCACCTCCAGTAGTTTCACCTTCTGCACCCTGGCCAGCACATTCTACCACAGTCACCCTGGCCAAATGTTTTGGGTCAAAACCATGTTCCAAACTGCCAACATAAATCGTACTAGTGTGAATCGCAAGAATTCTACACCGTTCTTTTGCTGCTGAACTGACAACAGGTTCTTCCGCTCGTTTCCATCCCTTTGGGAGTTGGAAGCCGAAGGGTGGTGAAACCCATCTAGGAAAGTCCTCGTGACGTCGCGTTCTCCGCATCAACGACGTCCATGCCTGCCACCAAGGATTCTTCCGCATTGGCTTGTTCTTCGTAGTTGCCGCTGTACCGACATGCGTCGCTGGAGTTGTACTTCTATCAGCATCACCCACTCCTCCTGCTTGATCTTGATCTAATTGCTTTTTATCATTTTTCGTACCACTATCCCTACTGGTACCACTTTTGGTTGATGCATTCACCTGCTCACCAGCTCCTATTTTCTGTCGTTTCGCATCGTCTGTACTAGAAGAAGCAAGATTTTGAAGTCCAAGACCTAAATCGCGTGGTCGCTTGGCCATAGCCTTCGGGGAGTCCACCTTTTCGACTGGCGAAGAAGATGGAATTGTTACCGGCCCAGCAGTCTTCTTCTGTTTGCTCGCCTCCTCTGCTTCCGCATCCAAATCAGCCAGATCGATGTCCTCACTGGTGCTTTTCAGCGGAGGTGGAGGTGGCTTTTTGAACGCTGAAGGCGGTGGCTTCAAGACGTCGTTGCTAGCATCCCCACCCACACGTTTCTTGGGACTAGAAGATTTTGTCTCAACACCTCCTCTTTTCTTCGATGAAGATTTCTTCTTTGCTGGTGAAATAACTGCAGCTACACCTGCGTTCATCGCGGCCACTGTGTATTCATCCACATCCTCAAATTCTTCCTCATATGGATCCTCAGCAAAGGGGTCATACTCGTCATCTTCAGCGTCATTGTTTTCCCACTCATCTACTTCATCTGCGTCTTCTAGGGCATCGTCATCTTCTGATTCGTCATCGCCTCCAACCTGCTGGTTGCCTGCTCTTGGTCCTGATTTAATGAACTTCCCACCACCACCTCCTACACCACTTCCTGGACCCTGCTCAAGCTTAGGTGTGTTCAAGTCTCCGCGAGTAATCACTTCCATGATGTTATCGATCCCTGGAAGCTGGCCTATGCTACTAGTAGTTGACGGATTTCGTTCGAAGTTGTTGTCGTTTGGCGGTGGTTCAAATTTTTCGAAGTCTACATTTTTTAGTTTACGCATCACGTCCGAAGCAGTACTACTAGTGGTTGTCATAGTCATGGAAGGTGAAGGCTCGACTAAAGCGTACTTGTCGGCTAGAACCCGGGAAATGTGGCCACTGCGCAAAGCCTTGTCTAATTCATCCAATTCTTCTAGGCTCTCGACACTGTCAATAGCGTCACGCACGCGAGCCATTCCTAGAGCGCCTAGTTGCACTGTACTATCAGATTTTCGGTTCGCAGTGGAAGCTTCAGTAGTCCTTGTTCCAGCATATTCGTCACCACCCTTCTTGTTACCTTTTGCACTGGTTGTTCTTGGAGTCTTCGCACGTGGACCACCATCATCTTCATCCTCGTCGTCTGTGTCTTCCAGGAAGTCACTGTCGTTTAAACCTAAGCGGTCAATGAGCTCTTGGTCTATGTCACCACTGTTGAGAGCGTCATCGAGCTCACTCAGCTCGTCAATCGACGTCGCTGAAGAAATAGCGTCCCGCATTTTTTGTTTACCTGAAGATGTTATCGGGATGCGAATTTGAAAAAAATATATGAGTGAGCAAAACTTATTACTTGTGTGATATTGATATTCTCTGTTACAACTGCAGTACTGTTGCACTACGCCAAGCTATTTATTTAAAGTTCCGAAAGTAACGGTAGTGCTGGTTGTCCTCCAACAAATAGTACCTTTCGCTGACAGTATCCGCGGTCCATCCTCTTTCTGTTTTGAACTCGCGTCGTTGTCCTCTAAAGAGCCTCCAACATTTCTATCGATCCAACCTTCATTTTCTTGTAATCCCCCTTGAGCTTTGCGCATAGCAGCTTCGATCGATACGCCTTCGCCGAAGAGTGTTGTCGCTAAGTTTTCGAAGAAGGTCTGCTTCGCAGTTGGGTACTGGAACAACGCCGTAGCGGGGTACTCGATCCTCGGCTTTCTCGTCTTCCCTTTCCCCTTACCAGATGGCGCAGAACCACCGTCTTGGTAGGATGGTGGAGCATGGTAGTCCCAAGTATTGCTGTCCCAACCAGCATTGCTGTGCCAAGCAGCATTGCTGTCCCAACTTCCAGTATTGCTGTCCCAGCCAGTATTGCTGTCCCAACCAGCATTGCTGTCCCAGCCAGCATTATTGTAGTTTTGCCACGACATATTTTTTCGTACCGACCAAATACACAGAGTACAAAGAAATGCTCTTACAGAACAAAGTTTCTCGTAGCCCTATCTATCACCACTTCACCCAAAATCTCAAACACAAGGACAACGAACTTCTATCAACAAGAAGCAATCACAGTAGGCGAAGGACATAATCGTCGTACAAAAAGGGAGCAGGGGAAAAGAACAAGTTTGGGGAAAAAGCACTATGACATTCTCATGACAAGGGCTGACCGGCTAAACCTGAACCTAAACAAGAGCAAATCATCAACAAAGAACAGCAAATCATCACGATGACCACTATAACTTCTACTTACCATGAGTTGTTCCACTTTGAAGACGATTTTCATCATTTTGCGCATACTTCCACGATTTTCCACAGATCGTGATCCGGATTCCACATTGACTAGGAAAAAATCCAAAAGAAGACCAAGGCAATCACATTCACAACAATCGACGATAGACTTCATCTTGTTTGGACTAGTAGGCCAAGAGCTCCGATTGTTCCATCTGGTGATCATGAATTTTCCTTTACGAGTGGAGAGAAACACACGTTTGATTCCCTGTCCAGGACAACGATTCTCGTCCTCAAGTAACGCCTCCTAGAATTTCAATTTGAACGCGCATTCTATCTGTGCGCGCAGAGGAGCTTCCGTGCTCGGGTACAAGTGTACGCCATAAAAAACCCTTTCTTGTAGTGTCTGAATATGGAGCGTACTTTTGCCACCAGATGACAATTGGGGCTCGTTGATGTCTCTATATTCTCATTTTCTTTTTCTCAGATGAAAGAGACGAATGTAGAATAATCAAAGATGGGCGTCGTGATCCCCAACTTTGATTGTTGCTCGTTAGAGTCTTGTGATGATCGAAGTCTGTCATGAATCTTCGATCGTATAGATTTCCACCTCCTTCCAGACAAGACTATTCGCTGCAATGAATATCGATGAATAGTTAATGCTCAGCTACTTTGATCGGCGAGAAGTGCATATCGTCCGTGAATATGGTACCACTCATGCACAGCTACTTTGGTCTTTAAATTCTGGGGTTTTTCATGTGCTGCGTTTTTCACGTGCTTTTACAATACAATTACAAATTTTTCGAATCGTTCGACGCACCAGCTGGGGTGGGCGCAAAGAAAGCATGCATTTTGACAGATGAATTTTCAACATGTCAATGCTTCAGCTGGACAAGTAAAATCACATGTACAGATGACATCACTTTAGTTCAGCTTCACTTAAAAAATTCAAGCTCCTTCCTACTTTCCTCGAGTGACTTTTATCATTAAGATTTTGAGGTTCTCATAGAGAGTTCTGAGTTCAGCAAGGGTTTAGGGTTACGCACCTCCTCATCACCTTCTCATAGCCCGGAAAGATATTTGTTGGGCTAGAAAGAGGTTCAATTCCGATAACTCGGCGACATTGCATGCAGAGATTGCTTGTTTGGCGCGTTCTAGGTTCCCTGTAATCGCGGTCCCGGCACTCGCAAAACCAGCTACTGCTCTCTGCGACGGCACTAGCTGTGGCTGTGCAGAGAGGATTTGGAAAGAGGAACTTTGAGGCTGGATGATCGACGGAGAGGAACTTTGAGGCTGGATGATCGATGGAGAGGAACTTTGAGGCTGGATGATCGATGGAGAGGAGGTTTGAGGCTAGATGATCGATGGAGAGGAGGTTTGAGGCTAGATGCTCGATGGAGAGGGGCTAGAAGATGATGCTGTTTTTGGTGCAGCTAATTTGTTCTTGTTTGTTTCTCTTCAAGCAAATGGATACCATGCCAAGTCTAACAAATCATGACTTGTCCAAACCATGATCCCCAACGAGAGATATCCTTTCAATGAAAACCAAAGTACCGAGATTCCATTTGCCCTGAGCTTTCCCGTTTTTCCATCTGTGCCGATTTCGAAGCTACACGGTTCTCCAGCTTGCCACTCCCGATTCGTATCGCCTGCCGGGAAGAAGAGCTCTTGGTCCAAGATATCGCAATTAATAAACCCATACTTTCCCTGCACGAATGAGCTTACTCGCCTGAAGATGGAGTTGGTGTTTTCGTGTCATAAATAAACTAGTGTGAAAATAAATTGATTGGAGGGCTAGGCCTTGGGTGAAAATAAAACGTTGTCGTGATCTGCTGCTGGAGAAGCAGAAAACTTTGTTGGTTCGACAATTTCTACAGGAATTCGAATTTCACATGAAATAACCAAGGATTTGATTTGTATGGGAGAAGTCTCTGTAGTACCCATTATGCCTTCCAGGTGGGATCTGTCCCATAAGCTTGCGCCGCTTCTTCGGATCATTCTGCCCCTCATCTGTTTTCCGTTTACCCGCTTGTCCAACTGGCACGTTGCTGCCAACTTCGTTCTGTTTGATGGTCGTGTTTGATGTTATCTGATGTTATTTCGATTGTGAAGGATCATTGCATGTCTGTTTATGAATGCATCGCAGTCTCCAGATCGTTGTACACAAAAGTATGATATACCAACGGAAGATCGACAAATCTTGCGAAGTTGGCTGAAAGTCCTTGGTTTGATTTTTCCACTGAGAACCGAACCGCCATCCCAGCCAAGTCAGCATGCCTTCTGTGGCTTTCGGGTACGGAGTATGAATGGGGAAGCAATGGGGAATGATTTTTTGTGGTATATGGGAGGACAAGGAAGATAAGAAAGAGGAGGAGAAAGAGAAAGAGAAGGGGGAGGAGTAGTAGGAGGAGGGGAGAGAAAGTGGTCTTCAAGGTTATAACCAAGTGATAACTATTAAATCGGAAGAAAACAGAACTTGAAATGAGGAGTATCTCATGAGACCCTAATTTGCTGACCGCCTCAGCCTCTAGCGATAATCAATAGGTCTAGGTCGTGCCATCCAACATTAGTACATAGTCAAATAACAGATCACTTTGACATTAGTACATAGTCACATAACAGATCTTCACTTTGAACTTCATTCATTCATGTGCTCCTTAATCTCGAAGTCAAAAGAGGGCGGTATTCAACCACCTAACGGGTCATAAGTTTTCAACCTCAAAGATCTGTTCATAAAATGAATTTCCCAGGTAGAAAGATGTCTCTCTTCCCACTGCCTTCTGTCTCGACCAATTCCTCTAGCTCTGGAGGACACTCGATGAACCCAAAACCCTTCTGCGAATTCCAGCTCTTCAAGGTACTGCTAAACGTTGGCAAAGACGCTGGATCTTGGATGGGGAGTTAGAGATGCTTGTGTTGAGTTCTTCAACCGTGACGACCTTCAATCTACGTACTGAAACGGGGTGCAGACGACCGAAACCATTTCTTTTAGGGCACTTTCGAGTTTCCTTCTACCTGAGAATCTTGGAAGTTGTCTATCATGAGAGAGCAGATGGTAACAAATTAATCAACTTCTTCAGCACATGCTTGCTACAGTATAATATGGTCATAATTGAACGCACTGTATTTTCCGTCTCGGTTTTGCTTTACTTGAAAATGCAACGATACTCCTTGCAAGTTCTGGGTGTTTGTCAGCTGTCCTGGCAAGTCTTTGCGGTTAAAACGCCTGAGAGTGATATTTACAACAGTTTCAAGAAGCTGAGTCAGTTGTCATGAACAGGAGAGAATGACATCATTAAAAAAATGTGCCAGTGTAAACCGAAATCACAATAGCCACATGACCACATCACTGTATACGTTTTACATATACGTGTCATCTTCAATCTATGCATAAGTCGTCAACATTAATATACTGAAAGAAAACTGTAAGACACATCCTGCCCATCTTCCACTTCTATCTCATGATCCACATTTTCTCAAAACAAAAATAACTAATACACATCCTGCCCATCCACGATGTCGTCCACGTTTTCGATAAATCCGTAGCCTTGAGCCAGGCTGTAGGACTTCACCGTTCCGCTGAGCTCCATCATGTCGTCGGATATGAAGGGGGGTGTTGATTCAGACGAAGATAAGGATTCAGCCAGTGAATTGTTGTTACTCAATCTGGAGGAATTCTTCTTCGGATTCTTGGGGGAGTTGTTGTTGCTCACTCTCTGAGTGTTCCCGTTGTTGTTGGGGGAATTTTTGTTGTTGCCGCCTCTCGGACGGTTGATCCGAGAAGTAGCATTGCTGTTGTTCGATCTCGAATACAGAGAAGTTGCATTCGAAGTCATGGTGTGGAGGTTGTCTTCACCAACAGGAGAACAAAAGGGGTTACTATTCTTGATTTCTCCGACAAGGGACGGCATTTGTATTTGAATACAGTGCCTTCTATTTTAACACTAAGAAGATAGTGGTAGTCTGACCACGTTGTACACTAGGGCTGTACAGATAGACATGTACCTACTACTCTCTACTATGACTTCAGAAGGATGATGAAGGCAACAAGGAAGGAAGTATTCATCATAGAAAAGTTGGTTTCAAATCAAACATGATCATCATAATTTCGAAAGTGTCGACATTCTCGACTTGCTCGATTCCGCCGATGTCCCCGAACGGCTGCATCTTGCTCCAACGAAGGTAGTATCAGGCTACTGCGAAGATTCGAAGAGACACAGTCACGTACCTCCAGTTAATAGAGGGATTACCTTCCAGTTCGAAGAGACTCACCTACCTCCAGTTTAGGTTACGAGGTTTACGACGCGGCACACAGCGACCACACAAGTACGACCTGTCTCGGTTACGAAGTGGCACACAGCGACCACAGCCACACAAGCTCAAGCACGAAGAACAACACCAACAACGATGCACACTGGAATCCACACGAGGTCAACCAGAGATGGTACCGCAACGACTCACTCCAAAAGACGGACTCCACAAGACGAGTAGGAAGAAAGCAGAAGCAAACCGAAAACCTCTTCTAGCGCTCTGTGACCACGACGAAATCGAAGACTATATTTTTTTAGGGTGGCGTTAGCTTTGGAGAGAAAATACCAGTGCTTTAGCTGACGTTAGGCTTAGAAAGTCCCTGCAATTACAGAGGAGATAGAGCAGATAGCACTAACGAGAGCAGATAGTTCTTTTTAGTTGTAGGAGATAGTCTCAGTGTTTCGACAACGAAGATAAACAAGACCGGATCGAAAAAACCATATGACCGAATATACAACTTCGACTTCAATTTTACTATTCTTGTCTCTATGCAATCTTATTTCCAAAGTATCTGGAGTGGACAATGGTAAATCAAGGTTTACGGGATAATGCCCTAGGCATAAATATCTATATAGACTTTCTACCAATATAATTACATCGAGATGAACGCGGCGTTACTCTTCTATTTCGCTTACACAAACGTCAGAACGGAAACAAACACAATTTCAGGAACCTACGGCAGAAGACCACAACCAATTCAAAACAACGAACCACACAAAGCAATCACATTTTTGATCTTTTGCGACGCAAATCTTTCGATTGTGGAACACAGCAACCAAACCGAGGAACGAAGATCTATGTATAGGTTCGAGGTGCGTCTTCCTGGCACTCCTCAATTAGAGCCTGAAGATTTCAGCTGGGCAGTTAGTAGTACTTCTTCGTACACGTGGAATAAAATTCTAATCGAATGATCTTACGCCTGCATCCTTTTGATTAGCAGTTGTGGCTATCTGATCTTTATCAGCCACATCTCCCATGGCCTGACTGTCAATCTTCAAACTTTGAACACGCCGCTAGCATCAATTTTTCAAAGGCAGACATCTTTATGTCCAACGATTGAGAGGCCCCTGCTCATGCTCATGGCAAAGAATAGAAGGTTCGAATCATTGAAAATGATCTTCTGCAAAGTATAATGGGGATTGGTGACTGCGGGCATAAGCATATGTTGTTCTTAGGGAACCAATTAGAATTCCGCAGCAGATTTCAGCAGTGTCGCTAGTTTCTGCCGCATTTGATTATACAATGCTGCAGGGTTAATCTTAGAAGCTCCTCCCCCATTCTTTCCACCTCTATTTGACGCTGCTCCACTTTTCCCACCACCTCTGAAGTCTTCATCGTCCTCGTCCTCATCCGACCAATGCAGATCGCATTCAGCGCTGTGCCTCTTAAACCAGTCAGCATCCTGCTTTTCGCGCTTCTTAGAATGTAAGTCACGCTCCAAATCGCTGCACCAAGAAAGCACTTGCCGCAGAGAGCTCAGCTGCTTGCCACTCGGCATCGGTACTGGGAAAACTAGTTCCTCGTTCTTGCTTTGTTGGGGATTCAGCTGTTCAGCGGGACTATTCTTGCTAGCACTAGAGGAAGAAGATGACAGTTTGAAGTTTAGACCTGAGGTTATTTGGTCCCACTTGGAGACGTCGCCTGCAGACCTCAATAAAAGCGCGGTGCCAGCCCGTCCTGCGCGAGCGGTGCGCCCAGTGCGGTGCACGAATAGCTCTTCTGATCGGGGAACCTGTGTTTCAGAATTTGTCTGTGTGGGAGAGTACTTACTCACTTTTTTACATGGAAGAAACCCAATGTCAGCGTAAACGTAGAATAAATCGATGTAAACGGAATATTAGTGAGAATCACTGTAGCGTAAACTATATCAAAAATTCAAATTGGCTGTGCTTCTTTGGTCTCTAGTATCAGACATCTAAGGAAAATTTGTCCTTCATCTGCAACTAGCCAGTAGTCGCATTAATCGGACATTTACTGCGAATGTCTGAGAAACGGAAAACCAAATCTCAATTTGTGTCATCATGTAAGAGAGACCTCGTCAAAGTACAACCAATTTCATTCCAGGGTACTTAGATAACAATATCATTGGCCTTAGAATTCAAGAAACTCTCTCTCTTCATGAGAAAAAAGTCATTATGTATCTTGCAATGTCACAAGCTGGTCCGCTTGTAAGAATACCTGATAATGCACGACGAAATTCACATCCGGAACATCCAATCCGCGTGCCGCCAGGTCTGTACAGATCAGTATACTCGCATCCCCCTCTTGACTAGCCCTAAATTGGTCCATCTTCTTTAGTCGATCTTTCTGCGCCATGTTGCTATGCATCGCGAAGACGTCACACTTCAGAGGATGCTCACTCCTTTGCTTCTTCCCAGTGGGCAAGATGCCCGCCAATTTGCTGCGACCAGCCTCTGAGCCGAGGAGCAAGCCGAAAACTGAGGCTAAACGGTAAACCATGGAAATCGCGTTTGTGAAAACAATTACTTTTGGCCGTTGCGCTTGAGGAGAGGCAGCAGCGGAAGAAGTCGTTGATTCTCCACTTTCAGTTTGTTTCGAACCACCAAGCTGCGAAGAAGAACTACTAGTCGCTGTAATAGAAGCTTTCTTGAAACTGGCAATTTGCGCTAAGACGTATGCAAACAACAATGCGTCTCTGTCGTCGTCTTTTGAGAATGAGAGTTGTTCAAACGTCAAAGACTTCGGAAACTTGCTGCCAGTGGCCGACGCAAGTGCTGTCTTCTGACGGGAGAGGTCTACAGTCGCAACCTTACCTCTAAAATGCACCTTCTGCATCAGTGGTTCCGCGTCTGAGAGCGTAGCTGAGAAGACCATGGTCTGCAATTTGTGTAGTGAAGCTGTCGTTACGTCACCATTATCATCAGCGGCCTTTGCAGATGTGGTACAAATAGTCTTACTTCCTTGTGCAACCGCCAAAGACTCTGCGAAGTCGTCGTCTGTCGTTGTGGTCACGGCTCCAGACCTTTGGTAATATTCGTTCTCCCGGTACAAATAATCCAAAATGCTAGTCAAATCGCGGAAATGTCCTGCTTCGACCAACCTGTCTGCCTCATCCAAGACCAGAAACTGCAATTTGCGATAACCGTTTTTCAGGTACGGCGACACTTCTGCGTCTGCATCTTCGTTCTTCAGCTTGGTCAATCCAGACAGCTGTGCAACTCGGCCAGGAGTGCCGACAACGATGTCAGGCTGCTTCCGCAACAGTCGGAGCTGCTTGATCGGGGTGAGTCCGCCGACAAGACAGACAGTGAGCACACCAGTGCGAAGATCATCGAAATGGCGCTTCACCTGCTGCGCCAACTCTCTGGTCGGAACAATTACTAACCCCGTCAAGTTCTTCTCTGAGAATTTCTTCCTGACGATGTTGTCCTCTCTTTTCTCCTCCGAACCGAGTGAGAGTCCTCTCTGCATGTTGAGGCCTCTCAAACACTTCTGAAGCATCGGTAGACCAAAAGCCAGAGTCTTCCCAGAACCCGTCTCTGCTACACCAACTACGTCTTTGCCCGATAAAGCCGGCAATAAACACGCATCCTGAATGGTCGAAGGGCGAGCGAAGCTTTTGTGAGTCAGGCCGAGAAGAATTTTTCGGTCTAGAGGAAATCGTTGCCAATTCTCCTCAACATCCTCTGATACTTTTGTCGGAAAGTCATTGTCTTCTTCAGGTTTACTATTTGAGGATTTCTCAACAGCGGCAGCATCTTTCTTATCGTCCTTATTCTGCTTTTTCTTCATAGCGGACTTGTTCTTTTTATCGCTTTTCGTAGAAGTGCTGGGAGATGAAGGGGCACCAGAGCTGGCTTCTTCATCGTCTTCAGACTTCTTGGCGCCCTCTTTTCCATCCACGACTTTCTGCTTCTTCGCATCGGAGACTCCCGAGTCAGCGCCTGTTGTTTTCCGCTTTTTCGAATCAGCTTCTTTGGATGAATTGGTGTTCTTTGTTGAGTCGGCCTTTGTACTATTTGTAATGGTTGCTTCTGCATTGCTGGTCTCCTTATTGTTGTTCTTCTTCTCTTTCTTCTTCTCATTCTCTTTCTTCTTCGTCGTTGCACCTGCAGTAGCCCCAGCCACCTTCGCATCCAACCCTGAGAATACCTCATAATCTCCGGCGTCGAGCTCCTCTACTTCTACGCCGAACATTTCACCGTATTCCACTTTTCCGTTCTCGCTCCAACGAGCCTGAAATTCTTGTCCGAGATTCACAGGCTTCCACGTCAATTGCCGCTGTGTTTGTTTTGCCTTCTTCTTCCTGTTGGAGGAGGACTTCGCTCCTGAGTTGGTGACAACATCAGACGTCTCCTGCACAGTGTGGCTCATTTCGACAGAAGGCTTTGCTTCACCTTTTTCAGCTCCAGTCCTACCAATATCTGTGTCTCCACCATCCACCCCTCCTTTCTTATTAGAAGAAGCTGCTTTCCTTACGACTTTCTTCTTTCGTCGGATGATAATTTTCTTCATGGCCTTCTTCATAGGAGTAGAAGCAACTCCAGACCGCTTGACGATCTTCTTCATCCCAGTCTTCATCTTTTTCACGATAGCCATTTTTCATGAATTGAGGAATGATGGTATTCTCAGCATTGATCGTCAACAAGATAGCCTCGAGAGAAACCTCAACTACTCACGTGTGAGGTCTTTAGGTCCATTGACGTGAAAAAACGATCAAGAATACATAGCACCTGAGCATCAAGTTAAACGAGGAGTAGGAGACAACGTGACTAATATAAGTAGTTTTGCGAGAAAATAGGTTGTTTCTGATCAAGAGATGAACTTTTCAACGGGTCTTTCCATCGGAGACCGGATCCGGAATGATATTCCCAACCAGGTGGACCTCGAGATCGAATTCAAGATCGACTTGAGATCTATTCTTTTCTTTCGCGACCAGATAAAGATCACTGATCCTCTACAGAGCTCTTGCCTTGAAGACAGGTCGACTTGGGGTAAGATCTTTAGCAATGGATCTGGCTTGATCATCGACTTCTACGTTTATCTTCGAATTCCAGTGCTTAGACAAGTTCTGTTGAGGTCCTAGGAGCGTGAACAACAATTCTAGACTATGTGGTTCGTTCAGAGGAGGATACGCCATCTCCACGAAGGCAGTCTTTGCAAAATATGTGGAAAGGAAAAGAGTACAAAGAAAACCCAAAAAACCCACAACGGATCGATTCACGATTTCCATGACATATGTCCGTGTTGAAAGTTCACATGTATTTTTCAAGCACAATTGTCTGTTTCAAAAACTTTCGGGTATTGCGTTCTGCACAAGCAGTAGCAGGATTGTAAATACTCAGTAACTACGAAGCGGAACAAGTAGTTGTACACCACTAGGGTTAGTGTCAACAAACTACTATATGAAAAGAAAGCTATTCCTATTGCCAATGCCATTAGTGTTATTTTCTACGATAAAACTGAATCAAAACTTAGACTTTCTTATACTACAACTCCAGAGTCTTTCTCGCGTTTACAGGATGTTCATTACGACCAAAAAACTAGAATTACATACTTAAATGCAGTCCTCCTCCAGCACTTCTACGTTGCGCTCCAATGGTTGGACCTCTTCAAACCCACTGAGTGTGAACGTGCCGTCTCCACGCATCCTGCTGTCAGATTCACGAACTACTCCTCTACTAGTCTGATCCCGCAGTGTTATCTCGGAAGTACCGGTGACCACCGAATTCCCCACATCTGCTTCTTTCCCGACATCCGCTTCTTCCACAACGACGTCGTGCGCAGGTGGACTAATGGCTACAAAGCTCTGCTGTACTCTTGGCGATACCACTTCGAAATTCGTGCCGCATTCCACTGACCCACAGTCGAAATTCGCTTCTAGAATCGCGTTTTCTCGTGTCAGCGCACGCTTTTTTTTCGTTCCAAGAAGAGTCGGGACTTTGTTCGTAGTGGAACTCTCGTCACCAGTTCCTCCTTGCTGCGACTTACTAGACATGATGGAATCGTGACTCGAAGCCATGGAAACTTCGCCCCACGAAGCTTTCATCAGATTCTCGCCACCAGTGGAGGCTGTGAGGTCGAGGGGATTAGAAGAATCACCAAGCAACAACACTTATACAGGTATTCACTCGACGTGTATTGAAAGCAGGCACCAAAGATCACCAGTACTTGCCAGCACCATTTGAATTTGATAACTATGCCTTGCTTCACTAGTTATACCGAACAGAGACTCCTAACTTCTACTGCCTGATGAACATCCACGGGCTTTCCATTGTTCGACGCACCAGGAGGAGTTCTTCTACTTCTATGGGATGAAGAAGCGGCACTCTTTTCTTGTTTCTCCTTTTCAATCCGTTGTCGTCTTTGCGCGTCTAATTGCCGCAACGCCGCAGGCTTCTCACGCTGCACTGTTATCCATTTTTGACTTGGGGACGCTAGGTAATTGTCGCACAAGTCCCGTAGCTCGTCGTCTGAATGGACAAGAAAGCAGACGCACAATGATGAGTTCATCTGGGAAACATGCAGGAGAAGTGATTAGAAGAATAGATATTCAGCGTATAAAAAGAAGAGGAGATCGGCGTTTTGCAGAGTCGATAAGCCAGAAATAGTAGCAGGAAGTCGTAAGCGACTCAGAAAGTTATTAGCCCCAACAAGTGAGCGTCGATGGCAGCGAATGATGATGAAAAATCTAAAAATCTTTCATAATTCAAATGCCGCGTGACATCCACGTGGAAGCTTTTCACTGTCGGCAACGTAGAACTGATCATACTAGAGGCCGTCGCTTGCATGTCTTGCCCCTCATCTCCTACACCAAGACCATTGCTCTTGATCATCCGAGGACTTTGTTGTTCCACGACCTCTACTTGATTTCTTCTATCACTTCCCTTGTCTTTGTCTTGACCTCGTCCACCTCTACCTCTACCTCTATCTCGAGCGAAGTTACTACCCGACCACGTTGACCCAGATGAATTCTGCATAGAAGAAGTCGGACTCGTTGCGTCAACGAATCCATCGAGAGAGTCTAGTCCAGGTTTTTTGCTGTCTGGACTGCGTGCTGCAGGCGCAGTGAGAGACGACTGCCGCAACAGCGCACAATCCAAGTCCACTTCTTCATGCAAATCCAGAGATATCAAGTCGTCTCCTTCCTGCCTTGATCTCGATAGTGGGAATTAGAAGCAGCGTTTCGGGAGAATGCAACTACTGGATAGTCTTTTGTAGCAGTTGTGAGAAGCAAGGGAACGATTCTGGTTCCACCCTGCACAGTATTTTACGAAATCTACACTCAATCTACTGAAGCTTCTCCTCCTGCAAGGCATTAAATATCACAACTCGTTCCTTCATACCTGCCACCGCTTCCTCCACCAGTGCCGAGACGTGCCCTCGCAACCGCTGTTGATGCTTGAGGCGTGCTAGACATGTTGTTCAGAGAGTTTGCGGAGGAAAAATTCTTAACTATCGTTTCCTTCGACGAACTCCGACTTGTCTCTTCGCTCAAGTGTCGCAGTAATCGTGTCCCAGTGTTGGCTGCGAAGTTCTCGGCTGCGGTCTTGGCTTGCTGTATCGCTGAGAAAAACGATGATGGGGAAGACCCAGGCCAGGATGGCGCAGCAGCTCCCGGCCAAGAGCCAGGACCAGGGAGACGGGTGCCTTGAGTTAGAGACACAAAAAACAAGAACTCCAGTATTGTCTACTTCAAGTAATCGAAAAGGCAGGGTGTAGACTCTTCTAACCGAGTTACTGACTGAAATAAGGGGCGTAGCTTAACATCAAGGCTACTCTTCCTTCTCATCAGTATCTCGGTTATTCTCGTCTGTTACTTGCTTATTTCAGTTTATCGAATAGCTGAAAAATTCTGTATGCCATCAAGTTGAAGATTCCATCTTCATAATGACAAACCGTCACCACCGCCGCGCCCCGGACCTCCCGTGGGCCCGCTCAAGTTCACTATCTGTTCTTCTAAAGCTAAAAATTCTGCGTCTGCTTCGAAGTCGCTTGCGTGATGATGCGACAATTTCACTGGTGAATTGGAGGGCGACGTCCTCTGCTGAGCATAGTCAGGATTCCGTCTGCTCTGGTGCTGTTGGTGATGTAGTGAAGGTCCAAACGGTGACGTAGATCCTATTCCTATCCTAGGTATAGAAGACGACGATGATGAGGAAGGTATTGTTTTTCCACCTGGAGTAGAAGATGGGCAGCCTGGGAGATCAGCTGTCCTGGAGTCTGTTAGAGTACCACTAGAAGTTGAACGTTGATGATTTCCACTTCTTCGGTCTCCTGGTATAGTTGCTCCCGAATTACAACTTGTTGGTCTTCTAACAGTCCCATAATGCTGGTCTGGCGCAGTCTCAAGAGAAGAGAAAGTAGGAGAACCTGTCGGAGAACCTATTCCTGCTGTACGTTGTTGCGTTTGTCCCACTTGTTGGTCGTAGGGCAGAACTCCCGCATTAGAAAAATCGTCATCCAGATGGAGCACGGGAGGCGCACTACTCCCTGCCATGTTTTCCCTAGGTAGCTTCGGTGGCCTCGGAGCAGCCGCAGCGCTTGCTTTTGCTGTCTCAACTTTCACCGGATGCGCTATCGTAGAGTGTGGGGTCAAAAGCATTTTCCGTCTTACAGGTTCACTCGGATTACGACTCCCTCCTGAGTCTGAAAATGTGCGCGTCGGCTGTCGCAGATTCAAAGCGGCCTCTTGCACTGTGTGAGGGTCTAAGTGTACGAGCAAATGTTGCTCCAAGCATCCTACGAAGTAGTGCGCCTTCCGTGGCCGTCCGGAAAGCAAGCCCAGGGAATATTAGAGCCACCGCGCCGCAACCCCGAGGCCATCCCTGGGCCCTTTTCCCCTTGAAAAAGAGGCCAAGAATGGTGTTGAGGATGCTCTCTTGGTTGCGGCCTTAAGAATAAGGATTCTGCAGGAATTGCGCGACCTCCTTCTGCGCCCCCACATCCATGTATTCGCCCACGCCCTTCTGGAATGGGAGCAGAAGCAAAACACTCCGTGGCCAACGAGTACCTAGCACACTTCTTGGTCGTCCGGGCGACGCATCTTCTTCCTTACTACCTTGGTCCAGGTACTTTTCGTCGACTGAAACTAAGGTCTGTTGCGTATGCTTTCCGCCCTCTGTAGAATTTCTTATCCTGCCTGTCCCTGGGGAAGAAGCCTGCTTGCCACTCAACCGCGCTATCTCGTCCAAGTAAATGCAACCATCATAATGCGTATTAGAATTGTAAATAGTAGTTCCTGGTGGAAAATGCGTCCACCTTCTAGAAGTAGAAGTAAAGGTAGTAGGGCTGGGACTCCAGTGATCCCGGGCATGAAAAGTTTGTTGCTCAACAACAAATCAAAACAAGTGTCCAAACATACAGCATTCGGTACTACAGACTAGACATCACTTCTAGTATCAAAAAACGCGCACGGCACCTTAACTATGTAGACCTGAAAGCTTCCCGCAGTCTGCTCGTAGCTCCTAGACATGGCCATACGCCCGGTGCTACTTGCAGACGTCGCACTACTTGCAGTAAACAGATCTGACGACGTTCCTCCTTCTTCTTCGTGTCCATTGTAGTTTTTTGGACTACTGTTTTTGCTCATCTTGTTCTCTGCTACAACAAGAACTGGTGTAGTTCTACTCGAGCGCTGATGAATGTTGACAGCAGGATCTTTGTTTGTTGAAGAAGACAAAGTTGAAGCTCCTGTATTTCTGGTACTCGTTTCTTCTCTAACAACACTACTTTGAGCTCTGCCATGGTTCACTAGCCGTTCAAGCACAGTCGCAACACTCGTCGGCCCCAGCCATTCGCCAGGCTGCCGCCCAGAAACCAAAAACGACTGAAGCCCATAGCGCGCGCTCGGCCGATCTAGGAAATAGCGCAGGATTTTCAGCGCGTCGACGCGTTGCTCTAGTAACAACTCCCGTTGTGTGACAGGGAAGAGCTTACTCGTACTCAAGCAGTTATTAAGCAAAATTCAGAAGTGGGAAACAGCTCTTGAGTACGTTTCCTTTCTTGAGTACACATTTTCCTTTCTTGAATGCTATTCTTGAGTACTATGAGTACACCTTTTCCTTTCATACGTTGCATCAGGTTGGCTAACAACATCTGCCCCACTCGAATCATGCATCCCCACCCAGCGTCCGTCTCCACTGCTACTATACTGTCCTCCGAGTACTCGCGGACTGAATGAAAAAAAAAGGTAGAAATATATTTAGGATTTCTCCATAAGATCAATCATATCACTTTACTTTTGATCTTACGATTGAGTGAAAGTGAAAGAGACACATCACAACAACTGTATTATATCTTGTTGACGGCACTACTTGCGTCTCCTATCCTCCCAGCCACGACGCTTTTTAGTCCTGCCTACAACCTCCATTTCCATTATTATGAATGTGACAGTCTTTCTTTGTCCCATAATACAAAGGTGCAAAGTTTTTCCGGTAGGTACAACGGTAAAGGCGGTTGAAGTCCCGCTCGAAATGGCCAAAGGATCGCTTGTTTCTTAAGGCCTCTGCACTATTATCTCCCGGAGAGACAGGTATGAAGGAAGAAAAAAGATATGAAGTGACAGCATGGAACAAGCGCACACGTTGACCTCTCAGTGTTCTCGTAAATTCCTCTGTAGAGCAAGTCTTATCTGGTGTGCTGCCAAGAAGAATGTCATCTACTTCGACATACTGTAACTTCTATCGTTCACCAACAACCATTTTTAACGGGCTTTCCACCCTTTCAAGTAACAAAAACAAGAGAGAGAAATTGCTTGTGAGTTGACCTTCACAAAAATAAAATTGGATATGATATTTTCATAAACGAATACCGCTTTCCAAGTAAAAACAAAGATCCTCGACGACCAGCGCAGAGACAGGCGTGCCTTAATTCCTCGTAATCGTCAGGGGAGCTTCTCACTTCTTGCACGATCTGTTGCACCGCTTCGCTATGCACAAAAGTCGCAATTCCGCTTTGCCTTAGAACATTTTTTTATGGGGCTTTTTAGTACTAATAGCCTAATGAGTTCTACTAGCAAAAAACCATAACTTTATCGACTGCACGAATTGTCCCAATGGATCTATACTGCGACTTGCCAGATGATTTGCCGAAGAAACGCTTCCAGGTGCTACAGCNGTCCTGTCTGTTGTCGCTGTATACGATCTTCCACGACCGAGAAATGTGCTCCACTCCGCTACACGCTCCTCTTTGATCCGTATATATTCCCCTTGCGCGCGTCGCGCTGATTACAAACTACCGAGAGACGTGTAAAAAGAACAGTCTCTAGACCCACACCACCCAAACAGAATTCCCGCGAGACGAAAGAGAAGCCTCGCTACCAAAATAAAGAACAAGCAAATCCAACTAACATGCAAGAGTCCACCTTACAGGACAAGATGGGACATTACAGCCACACAAAAAGCATAAAAACAAATTTTTATCTATTAGGTGATCCGTGCTGTATGCCAGTACTCCAAGATATATTACTTCCAAGTATTCTTTTACTTCCAAGATATATTACTTTTGCTCGAACAACCTCCCCTAACGGCCGCGTCAAAGAATAAGGCATTCTATCGCCGTGAAGATGAGCGTACTTTTCTAGTTTTTCTTGGAATTTCATGAAGCGTGCGGGTGACTGAATCTAGTTTCTGTGAGGGGGTTCTCCATATCGGAGAGGCCTTACGTACTTTCATACGTTCTTCCTCGTGTTCGTATTTCATATGATGAAGGCAAGAGAACCAGAAGATAAATTTGTATGAGTCATGATAGGATAATGACGATCTATATTCATATGTTTCAACAATTTGATGTAATTTGGTGAAGAGATGGTAGGACGAAGACCGATTTTTCTTTTTCTCAACGCATGCAAGTAAGGATAGCGAATGATATGAATTACGTGTATACTTCATGGTAGTTGTTCAACAGAAACGGAAAACGATTTATGTTTTTATGCGATCGAGATCCTGTTGTATGCATATTCCCTAAATGTTGGGGATGATTACGTGATGGAGCAGTCGGGTTGTTAAGTCTATGCTCAGGAACGTTCTACGTAGCAAGCTTCGTGAAAATGTTAATGTTGTGCAAATCATTATAACTTTTTTCGGAAACATGAATCATAATTGGCAATTCTCATACACACAAGCCTCGAAGTAGTGGCAACACTAGTGAGAGACTCATCGTATGAATTTTCAAACTGTGCAGTAGGGTGACTATGCACAAATTCTCAAGATGTCAAGAATCACGGTTTTTACGTCAAATGATAGTGGTTACCAACGCGACAGGTGTCGCCTATTCAAATATCTCTTCAAAACGGAGGTCTAAGCAAAGCCAACACTTGCTACTTTCTGAAGGGTAGGCATCGTTACCTCTGCTTTGGGAGCAATCTCAGACTCTCGTCGCTACTGCAATTCAGGCAGCTACAATTCAGATTCTCCTCGCAACCAAAGACATCCTTGTAGTGATGAGGGTCTCTGAAGTTTTAGTCTCCAACTATTTTGCTTCTGCAGTTGCTGTACCAACGAACCGTAATTCTCGAGTACTAATTGGTACATTCTTCTCTTCTCCAAAGCGTTGTGAGATACCTGAGTAGAAGAAGCGCAGTTGGTTTAGGCTGTCTAAACCTTAGGAATAAAAACATTCTTCATTTCAAATAAAACATACTTGATGATCCCGTCAAGGTTTCACTACAGAGAAGTACTTCGAATCAATTCTCATCATTATCAGATGAAGTCCTGTGATAGAAAAAAGAAGTACCTCCTAGAAATTCTCCCCAAGAAGTGAACGGCTCCTCTCCATACCTCCAATATGGTAGACGCTCAAATTGGTACATTCGTATTCTCCTTTTTCCGAGAGTTCGAGATACCTGCAAAGTGGTTTGTGTTTGCGAATTCTTAGGAGGACTTTCTTGCATTCAACCAACAAAATCGTCTAATATTCCTTATTCAAAGACTTTAAATCATCACATTTACAAAAATTCAAATTTAACCTATTATACATAGAAATAGAAAGAAGTACCTCTAAACATTTTCCATGGCCGACAGAGAGCCGTAGCTCTGAGCCTTGTCATCGGATGTAGGCGGCAAGAGAGGAAGAGCACGCTTCGGACAAAAACAAGAGCGCAACTGGCGGCGACAGAGGTAGAGACCCAGCACGACGATCACAGTCGAGGCGGAGCCCAATACGAGACTCGTGCTCACATCTATCGCACCACTTTCAGACGTCGTCGGAGTAGAAGTGCCAGTCATAGAGCCGTCGCCCAGTGCGTCTTCGAGGAAGGACTCCGCCGGGCCGTTGCCTTCTCCTGCCATCAAAAATGAAGGGATCTTAATAATAACCGAGACCAGCAGCCGTCATACTATATTTTCCAAAGCCCAAGCTTTTCCCAAAGGCCCAAATAATTTCCAAAACCCAAACTTTTCCCAGAGGCCAAAATATTTCCCAAAGCCCAAACTTTTTCCAAAGCCCAAAATTTTTCCCAAGCCCAAACTTTTTTCAAAGCCCAAACTTTTTCCAAAAGCTCAAACCCCTTCCAAAGCTCCCACTTTTTCGAAAGGCCCAAACTTTTTCCAAAGCCCAAACTTTTTCCAGAGCCCAAACTCTAAATAAATGATCTTCCATGTCAATCTCTTACAGTATAAAAAAGCTTTTCCCTCGTTTTGATTTTGATTGCATATTTTGAGTTTTGACTTTGAATTTTGAATTTTGATTTTGGGTTTTGATTTTGAGTTTTGATTTTGAGTTTTGATTTTGAGTTTTGATTTTGAGTTTTGATTTTGAGTTTTGCTTTTGAGTTTTGATTTTGAATTTTGAGCTTTGGGTTTGAATGCTGAGTTTTGAGTTTGAGTTTGAGTTTTGATTTTGATTTTGAGTTTTGGGCTTTGGGTTTTGATCTTGAATTTTGAACTTGAGTTTTGAACTTTGACCCTGAATTTTGACTGTTCTAGCAAATTCTTTGGAATTCCGTTGGCCCCTGTTTACCACTCGAGAGGGCTAGTAGGTAACTAAGCTCTTCAGCGCACATTTCTGTGGCGCATATTTGTACTCTATCAAAGCCAGCGATATCGCTGGGGTGATTTCTTCGAATTTCTAAAAAAAACGCAATCTACTTTTTTTCTAAGCTAGAACCTGGATGCGCGAATCAATTATAATGAGCCACTGGCATAGGCGGGAAGTCTGAGTCTCTTCCAGTGCTAGCCGTGGAGTTACCGTTCCCGTCACCTGCTTCGCCAGTACTTTTTGCTCCTCCTTCGTCATCGTCACCGGCTTGGTTTTGGTTGCGCCGGCCTCGGTCCGGGGAGCATCAAAATTAGATAATTCATAAGGTAGCCCAATGGCTGCGGATTTGAGTGATGTCCTTCACCATTCTCAGCGATGTCGCCCCTGTCCTGTGGCTAGTGCTAATCTGCACAAGCACAGGATAAATTTGAGAAGACAAAGTATCTGGCTTTTGTTGTTGTTGTTCAGTACGAAGACCCCCCGGGCTTAGTGCCTTTCATCTGCCTAAGCTAACTAGATCCGGATCGACTGTTTTACTCATCAACCTGCTACTTGCTGCACACGCTTAAGGCCTTCTCTGATCTTGTTGTTGATGTTGATGATGTTGCTGATCTTGATGGTGTTGATCTTCGTGCTGCTGTCGTTGTGATTATCTTGCTCCTGTTGTTTCCTTGATCATGATGTTCGTAAATAGCTGCTGATTTCCGTACTGGTAGGATGGTCTTCATGCTCATACTTGAGATGGTTCATAATTGGGGGACCGTCAGGCACACGGACACGGGTCTTCGCCATCAGCGCCGAGAGCGAGCTCGTCCTCTCTCCCAACGGTTTCAGGTCTCCAATTGTTCCTTCCTGCGAACCTAGAGAAAGAAAAAACCAGATCAAGCTGTCGCAAATGAAATCTTCGGTGTCTCACTTACAACAGAACGAAGCATCAAATTACGAAAATGGAAACAGTAAAACTGGAAAACCTGTAGCATTTTCGTCTACCCTCTCACTGAAATTGTCATCGCAACTCAGCTAGGTCTCAATATTCTTTCAAATCTTGAATCATTATCGTAATGGCCCCAGATATGTCTTGGGAGTCCCACAGGAGGATGTGTGTTGTATCGATGAAGACCTTTCGAACCAAGTTATGGGAGTATACAACAAACATGGTCAACATCTATATGAGTATTATCATCTTCTTGCTTTTTCTTGTCATCTACCTCAAAAGGCTTTTAATGGCCTTCAACGATTAGAGAAGAAAGAAGAAATCACACAAATACTGTAGTTGTATACTAGATTCTTTGCCCGGCGCGGATTCTTGGACCGGCGTGGATACTTCGACCGGCGCGGCAGTGACGTCCTCCGCCGAGTTTGACTTGCTGGAACTCCCGCCCATCTTGTAACTATCTGTCTTTCCGCAAAAGAATTCGACCCAGAGGGAACAAGATGATCTGTTCTTAGAATTTGGTTCTACGATCTACTCTACTAATGATAAGAGGATGCTGTTTATCCGCAGACTTGAAAGGAGATACAACAATGGAGAAGGCTAGGAGGTAACGTCGTGCTTGTCTGTGTAGACTTTTCCTAGAAGGATGTTTCTTTTTCCTACAAGTTTGATTATGGGAGAATATGTGGAGGTATATAAATAAGCACCATGTCTAAGAATGAAATTGCAATGGAGTTTGTGCGGTAGTTTGAACACGCAATCATTTTCTGAGAACGGGTCACGTGCATAATATACTTTCAGAATTGCTGTCTTTGGGCCGAGAACATATCATCTACCTAGGCATACTGCAAACCCGACTCGAGCGGACAACTCCGACTCTAAGTAACTACACACTGAAAAATACACGATCAAAGAAT